CTCCACTGCCTTCCAACGCCCACCCCACCTGGTGGTCAGCACACGTCATAGTGAGCGGTCAAACTCCCGGTCAAACAATTTGCACATTAGGCTTTTATATATATAGATATCATGCTAGACAATTTGGGTTTCAGGAAGTATCTTTTTCAATTTTAAGAACTGTACTGTAAACAGTCTATTCTTTTGGTTAAAGAGGATAGTTTCTCTGGATCTCTAATATAATGCCAATCTCTAAGGAAAGGCAGGGTGCCTGACTTAGTCATCCAGACTCTGCCAATGAGATGACCAATGCCTTTGAGGAACAAGAGTGTATAAACTGTTGACTCTAAGTTTGGGCCTCTCTCACCCTATGGTGTGTAGTGATAGTCTGGATGTTGCCATCTTACTTAGGGGATTCCACATGGTCCTCAATCTTGACTATTTACAGCCTTTCCTCCTCTCTCCTCCTGCCTCTGGGTTATTAGGTTCCTGCAAGTTCCCTGCAAACTGCCCAAGACTTCAAGCCAAAGATTGTGGTGATGAGTAGCCTGCGGGTCATTCTTCAAGCCTCTTTATGCAAATCGCTGTGGAGAAGATGCCAGATTCTGAGATCCATGCCAGTGAGGCCCTGCAGCCTCTACACCTGCAGTTACAAAACCCGGAACCGAGCCTGTGAGTACCCTGCTGCCTTAAGGAGAGCAGGATGCTTGTTTCATAACAGTCATGCATGTTAAAGATTTGTGGATAGGATGTCAGTGGCATTCCAGAGTGGGTGTATATGCCTTAAGAACTTTGAGAATTAATTACTTGTTTCTCTATCTGTCCTCTAAAAGGATTGTGGAAAGTTCTTTTTGCCCCAGTTTTACTGAGATATAATTGACACATAACATGTATAAGTCTAAGGTGTACCACATGGTGATTTGATACACATGTATATCGCAAAATGATTACCGCAGTAAGGTTTGGAAAGTCCTTTTCTTGACCAGTTTGAACATGTTAAAATTATGTCCTACAGAAATGGGACAAGGGTGAGATCCCAGTTTCAAATACTTTGAAACCTGTTCTTTATTGTTTCTTGTTAGCAATTGTCTTTTTAAAAAATATATATTTTTATTGATTTCAGGGAGGAAGGAAGAAGGAGAGAGAGAAACATCAATGATGAGAGAGAATCATTGATCGGTTGCCTCCTGCATGCCCCTACTGGTGATTGAGCCCGTAACCTGGACATGTGCCCTTGATTGCAATCGAACCCAGGACCCTTTAGTCTGCAGGCCGACACTCTATCCACTGAGCCAAACTGACTAGGGAAGCTATTGTTGTTGTTTTTTTTTATTAAGGTTGGTCCACAGACTGTGAATGATTTCTGTGGATCTGAACATTCTAGAAGATGCATGTTAATGATTGCCAGCAGTTCAAAACAGTAGCATCACACCCTGGAATATTCTTTCCTGAGTTACACATTGTGGTTGCTTCTAGCAGACCAGCTTGTTGAGTGTATGCTCTTCTGTAAACATAGCAGATCAAGTGAGGCAGCAGATGGTCTCTGTTGAAACCTCTCACATCTAATCCCCCTGCCAAAAGACCAGTTACCATCTACCTCTCTATGGGGCAGGGATTCTCCACTGCAGCACCACTGACATGGGGGTGGGTCATTCTGTGTTGTCAGGGGCTGTCCTGTGCACTGTAAGATGTCGGATGGCATCCTTGGCCTCTACCCACTAGATGACTGCAATATCCCTGCCCAGTTGCAACAACCAAAAATGTCTACACATTACCAAATGAGCTCTGAGGGACAAAATTGCCTCTGGTTAAGAAATGATAGGAGAGGATAAACTTTGTATTTGTGGAGAGATGAGTTTGAGTTTGTAGAGAGATTAAATGGATAAATATATCATTGGAGAGGTATTTTTCATATTTTCCATTAGTTTAAAGGGGTTGACTCAGAGTTTCCAAATGTTGGCTTGCTTCTAGGTCAAGGTTTCTCTATTTTTTCTCTTTGGGTTTAGTCTCTTTTGATCCCATTTGCACATAATAAAAGCATAGGTAAGAGGAATGCTTGTAAAATAGGAATGATAATCTAGCTAAAGCCAAGGACTTAAAACTGCTCCATAAATATATTTTTATTGAGAGTGTATTTTATTTCCTCTCACATTGACCGTGTTCTCATTAAAATGAACTGCCCAGTGTTATAATACATTTCTGGTTGCTGGGTGTGGCTTCCTACCACCAAGCCCACATCCTACCCAGACTGGCTTATTCTCAATACTGGCACTTTGAGGCTTAAAGTGGAAAAAAAATATTTATCTAGGTAATAAAGTTTTACTTTTTTAACAAAAAAGTATAAATCCCTAACACTACCTAGTAGTTAAATAAAGTGAACCACAAAAATGAGTTATGTAGGCAATTCCATATTTTCTAATAGTCACATCTAAAAATGAATAAATAGTATGTCAATTGCATCTCAATAAAACTGGGGGAAGTAAATTTTGTTCATTTGTGTAATTCTACTAATATAGAAAATATAGGTGAAATATAATATATAGGTGAAATAAATTTTACTAATATATTTTATTTAACTTAATAGATCCAAAATATTATCACTTTAAAGTAAGATGAATATAAGGATTATAAATGAAATGTTTTACTTTCTTTGTTTTATACTAAGTCTTCAAGGTCCCTCAGTGTTTTACATTTATAGCACATTTCCATTTCAACTAGTCACACTGGGTGTGTGGGTACCATGTTAGACAGTGCAGGTACAGAGAGCAGTTGCCTAGGAGTAACAGTAGATGAGAGGATGCTTAATGTAATGTGCAGCTGTCAGGGAAGGGGTTTGAACTGACCTTGAGGGTCAGTAGGATTTTCACAGATGGGAAAAAACAGGCAGATGTGATCATGTGAATTCAGGAGGTGTTCTGGGTACACTTGCTTGCCTGGTTGGAGAGACTATGGGTGAGAGGTAAGGTTAGAGAGCCTTGGTATCAACTTGTTTGGTTTTCTCTATCAGTAAGGTAAGCAGTAAGTGCCTCCTTTGTGCCTGGTACCAAGTTCAGCCCTGGGCCTGTAGCAAAAGTACAGGATTCAGGCCCTAGGGCTTAGAGTTGACACAGGCCCCTTGAGCAGATAAAGTAAAGGCACATTGCATGAAACATGGTTAAGTGCTAAATGGTGTGAGGGTGAATGCAGTGTGAGTTCAGCAGAAGGAAAGGTCAGAGTGGTTGGAGAAAATGTCAAGACTGGAGTTTGGGAAGATGGAGTAGAGGTGAGAGAGGAGGCAAAGCAACCAAGAAGCATGGTATGAAGTCTGGGCTATAGAGACCAGAACTAGGCTGGTGGTCATGGGTGAGACAAGAAAGAGATAAACCTAAAATATTTTTAAAGAAAAAATAATGTGGTGAGTAGGGTAATCTATATATATACTAGAGGCCCTGTGCACTACATTCGTGCACTGGGCGGGGGGGTCCCTCAGCCCGGCCTGCACCCCCTGGCAGTTCGGAACCCCTCGCTCCTTACCGCCTGCCTGCTTGCTGCTCCTTACTGTTCGCCTCGCTGCTCCTTAGTTCTGTTGTGGAGGCGGGAGAGCTCCTGCCACTACCGCTGTGCTTGCCAGCTGTGAGCCCGGCTTCTGGCTGAGCGGCGCTCCCCCTGTGGGCATGCACTGACCACCAGGGGGCAGCTCCTGCATTGAGCGTCTGCCCCTGGTGGTCAGTGCACATCATAGCGACCAGTTATTCTGGTTGTCCCGCCATAATGGTCACTTAGGCTTTTTTATTATATAGATAAAAGCCTAATATGAAAATTGTCCCTGCGGGAGTTCAACTGGGAGACTGATCACTCGCTGTGATGTGCGCTAACCACCAGGGGTGGCACAGAATGAAGGAAGGCCCTGGCTGGCAGCTGGAAGGACCTGATCGTCCCTGATCGCCAGCCAGGCCTAGGGATCCTACCTGTGCATGAATTTCATGCACCGGGCCTCTAGTATGAAAGAAAGATAAAAAGAAAATGAGACCTCCCCAGTTATGTTCTTTATTATATTCCTTCATTCCACAACTGATTGAAAGCCAGCTCAGTTCTGATTTGCAGAGCAGCAGGGGAGGCACATTGTATGTGTAGGGGAGGACAAATTATTTTCATTCTACCCTTCTGAATTATTGCCCCCTCCAATAAAGGAGAGACTAATCAAAGGAAAACAAACAGAATTTTAATAACACGGATGCCAGGCCAAAAAAAGGGAATTTATAAAAAAACATTAATTGTCTTATACATTTTGATAAGCGGCAGCACCAGCTGCATTTGTGACACAGTATGTGGCATTGGGAAAAAAAAGTATTCTGTGATTGAAGTGAATTATGTTATAAATGCAAAGAGAAGATAAAATATTAAAAAACATATTTTCTAAAAAAATAGCATGGATACCTCCTATATACATAGGAGAGACCCAGGAAAACTGAATTAACTCCCTGAAATAGCCCAAGAAACCACCTTGCCCGGACCAAACACTCTCAGTAGTCCTCACAAACTCTGGGTATTTATAGTCTAAACTAGAGGCCCGATGCACAAAATTCATGCAAGGGACTCAACCCTCGCAGCCCCAGCTTCGTCTGGAAGGTCATCTGGAAGGACGTTTGGCTGTCCGGTCTAATTAGCATATTATGCTTTTATTATTATAGATGTCCCCTTGCTGTAGTTGTCTCTTCATATACTGCTATGGATAAGCCCCTGTAGTGCCCCTCAGCAGCTGAGCTACTGAGTAGTTATCAATGAGAATAAATGAGATATCCTGACTCAGATTATATCACTCATATCCAAACAACCTATAAAAACAACTTCATTCTTAGATCAAAACAATTTCACTCTTAAAAACAACTTTAATTTTTGTCATAAGTAGATTTTAAATCATATAAAACTGATACACAATAAGTGTGAATTCTCAAGTTCCCAGCCACAAGTCTGAATATCTCAGAGGTGTTTCTAGAAGTTTAAAAACATCATACAATCAAATACAGTTGTTTATTCCAACAATAGCAGTTCAATACTAAAATTAAAAGGCATATATCAGATAAGGCACTACAAGACAATAAAAAAAGAGGAAGATATGGTTCCTGCCTGCAAGGAATTTGCATTCTAATCCAATTATAATGTGAGTATATTATACCAACTCATATACATTTTCCATTTTAGATTTCTGAAACAGAAAGTTCTTGTTCTTCACAAGTTATTTTATATTAATGGAGAAACCCAAAACATTGATTTCAGACCTCTCTACAGGCGAGAGTACTGCATTATATGAAAAGAAAGAAAGAAAGAAAGAAAGAAAGAAAGAAAGAAAGAAAGAAAGAAAGAAAGAAAGAAAGAAAGAAAGAAAGAGAATACTTTGAGTTTGTCTTTGCTTTTAGCTCTAGACCAAGATTTCTCTACTTTGGCTTTGTGAAATCCAGGGTCAGATAATCTATGCATTGTTTAGCTGCATCCTTGGCCTCACCCACTAGATGTCAGTAGCACCCTCCTCCAGTTATAACAATGAAAAATGCCTCTAGACATTGCCAAATATCTCCTGGGGGGCAGAATCCCTCTGTTGAGAACTACTGGCCTAGAAACTGCCAGGAGAGCTTTATGTTTGTACTGCTGGGGTACTTTTGCCCAAAAAGACAAGGTTAAGATCTTGCACTTCCAGCTTTGGGCAGCTACCTCAGAAAGAAGAATGTTTCCTATGTAAGAATGAATCAGAGGCAAATTTCTGTTTTTTTGTTTTTGTTTGTTTTTTTAATGAAAAGAAGAGTGTCAGGGACCCTGCCATGCACAAGGATATGTGACTGTATAGCAGCTGCCTTGTCAAATCCTTAGACTCATTCATAGCAGTGAGGTGAGGTGTAGAGGGTCATTAGTAATGATTTCCTGTTGGTCTTGGTTTTACCCACGTATGGTGCTTCTAAAGGGCAGAGAACTGTAACACCCCAAATTATACATGTGGGTTCAATCCATCATGCATGGATGTCTCAAAAGGTCTGTCTGTGTTATCAGGAAGTCTGTGGAGATTTCAGGGACTTGCCACAAAGACTGTTCCAAACTAAAGAGGTTCATTTGCCTATATGCATCAAAGCCCAATAAAACACGAGCAGGAGTATGCAGCAAAGGAAGTAAAGGTTTATTTAAGAAAGTGGCACCAAGCCTGGAGACACAGGTGAGCTAATGCTCAAAGACCAGGCTCCCCAATGGCCTGTATGAGGGCAGATTATATACGGGAACAATTATTAATCATTGTGACTAAGGGAGTTGAGGTCATGGGATCTACTGATTATTTGGGGCCAGGATAGGAAGTAGTGATTATTGATGTCAGCTGTGGTGTCATTCTGTCCAGTTTTGTGAGGGTAAAGATGTTATGCTTTCATGGGCCTGAGACTGACACACAACCGAGGCCAAGATGCCATCTTCAGTTTGAAACTGTTCCCTTGATCAACAGACCTGAGGTTTTGTTCCTAAGACCTTATGATGCTAACCAGAACCTGATGTCCTAAGGACTTTGTGATTAAGGGAGTGGACATGCAGTATGTCGTGATGCTATTGACTGGACAAAGCTAGCTTGAATTAAGGGGGAAAGTCATATTAAAGAAATGAAGTTCCTGTGCAATTACAAGACCTGGTTCTTGAATTTTTGGTAGAAAAATCAGCATCAGTGATGTTATCAGTGCCCATGTGGGACAAAATGTGTCTGTACACTTAATATTATAAACAGAACTCCAAGAACCTTCACAATGGTAATATTCTACCCAGGTTTTACAGAATGGCCTCGTAATCTTCAAATATTGCATACATAAGAGGTGAAGTCAGCATACACACTTAAATAGGACCATATAATTCCTCCAATGGGATTTATCTCTCTCTGGTTCTCTTTGGTCTGACATACTTCTCTGCTGTGATTCAAGAAGTATTTGAGTCTGTCCTTAAGGCCTTAAGTATCTCTATTTCCCCCACTTTCCTTTCTTCTGAATGATATGACAGTGTAGGGGGAAGAAAAATAATTTTTGTTCTATATGTCTAGGTCCTGGACTGAGACCCAACCCCCTCCAATAATAAAAGACAGATTAACAGGAGAAAAAAAAACAAAAAAAGTTTAATAACATGATACCTGCTGTATACATGGGAGAGACTCAAGAAAACTGAATAACTCCCCCAAAAGGCCCAAGCCACCACCTTAAATACAGTCTTCAGCTAAAGACAAAAGATGTTGGGGCAGGGCTCTAGTGTGGGAGGTTATCAGGAAAAGCACAGTAAACAAGAGTAAGGTTGTTATATAGATTTAAGTCAGTACCTTCTCCATTGATGAAAGTCTACGGATTTAGTCTTCTTCCTGGTACAGAGAGGGATACACCCTTACAAATGGAGATTCCCTTATAAATATAAATGTCTCTTACAAGAGGATAACGTCTACTGCATTTTCAGACCTTCTCATGTGTCAATTGTTTCTTAAAAAAATTCAGCCTAGCCCTAACCGGTTTTGCTCAGTGGATAGAGCGTCGGCCTGCGGACTCAAGGGTCCCAGGTTCGATTCCGGTCAAGGGCATGTACCTTGGTTGTGGGCACATCCCCAGTAGGAGGTGTGCAGGAGGCAGCTGATCGATGTTTCTAACTCTCTATCCCTCTCCCTTCCTCTCTGTAAAAAATCAATAAAATATATTTTTAAAAATTCAGCCTAAAATAATTCTTGTGCCAAAGAGATATTGGGGTGACTCACTCTGCTCTCCATCAACAGGGCCCCTAAACCCTGAACATCTTATAGGTCTCAAACTAACAATAAATTACCCCTTTTCTTCTCAAAATCATCAGTGTCTTTCTTAATTTCTCCAAAACCCTAGAGTGTGCTCTAATGTCAACTGGCAGCCTACAATATTACATTGTGTGTAAGGAATCCAGAAATCTTCAAAACAGCAAGCAAAATTACAGGATGCATGCAATGCAAGCCTTTATTTCTACTAGCCAACCAATTAAAACCTTAATGGTTGATTGAACATTTGCTTTCCAAAAATTACTTCGCCTCTTTCCCCATTTACTTTGTTGAAAATATGTGCATTATTGAAAATTTCATTAATATGTTCCTGTGTTTAAAACTAGTTTAGCAGTCTGTTCTCTGCATCTATGAGCCTGTTTCTATTTTGTAAGAAAAAAAAACACACCAAAAAACTCATAGACATAGACAACAATATGGTGATTACCAGAGGGAAAAGGGTGAGGGGGGTAGAAGAGGGTAAAGGGAGGATAAAAATGGTGATAGTGACTAAAGGAGACTTGACTTTGGGTAGTGAACACATAATACAATATACAAATAATCTATATTATAAAAGGCCAGTGGCCGTAACACCATAATGCCATAACGACCAAACAACCGGTCACCAGGAAGTGCATTGATGGGTCTCGCGGCGCGCGGTGGGTCTGGGGTCTTGTGCGATTTCGCGCACTGGGCCTCTAGTGTACACCTGAAACCTATATAATTTTACTAATCAATGTCACCCCAATAAATTCAATAAAAATTTTAAAATACAAGTAAACTGGGCATATCCCTGAAAAAAAAAACTTAGTTTAGCAGGTGGAGCCCAGGAAATTATCAATTCTAATCTCTATGCATTTTTCCTGTTATCATAAGACTATGATGCATTTGGTTTAAGTGAAATTAGAAGGTGGACTGAGAGGCTGCAGTTTGACAAGACATCAGAGGCTGCTCCTCTGCAAAGGGCTCTCTGACCTGCCCATGTCCATGTCCTCTGCTTTAGTCAGTCCATGAAGTCCCTAAGTGGCTAAGTCCCGAGACTTCTCGTTTCCGTTAGCCTCTCCACAAATAGAACCGCCTGATGTGTGATCCCAGATAAGGGACATCCTGATGGCAGTCCCGATGTGCTTTCTCCTAGTGCACCCACTCTGGGAAAGAATGGACCTGGTCCCCGGGGGCGAGCGCCAGTCGCCCATCAACATCCGGTGGAGGGATAGTGTCTACGATCCTGACTTAAAACCGCTCACCATCTCTTATGACCCTGCCACCTGCCTACACCTCTGGAATAATGGATACTCTTTCCTTGTGGAATTTGAAGATTCTACTGATAAATCAGGTGAGAGCCAGACTGATAGTCTCATCTGGAGTTAAAGGCACAGTTTCATATGGTCACAGGTTATATCACACTGTCTCCATGGAAGCACAACCTCTTTTGTTAGCAATGATGGGACACATTGGACTTACTTTTTCAATGTAAGCTTTTATGCATATTTTCTTAGTATAGGTAGTATTTTTATTACTAAATAAGCATATTTCTAAGTATAGATTTATAATTGATATAGAAGATAGGGTGTGAAATTAAAAACTGTGTCCAGCCAGAACCGGTTTGGCTCAGTGGATAGAGCGTCGGCCTGTGGACTGAAGGGTCCCAGGTTCGATTCCGGTCAAGGGCATGTACCTTGGTTGTGGGCACATCCCCAGTGGGGGGTGTGCAGGAGGCGGCTGATCGATGCTTCTCTCTCATCGATGTTTCTAACTTTCTATCCCTCTCCCTTCCTCTCTGTAGAAAATCAATTAAAAAAAAACTGTGTCCAAAATTTATTTTGTAGGGTTTATGAATATGTACTAATTTTCTCTGCTTGTTGACTTTACAAGACACTTTTATGTTAAATAGTAACACTGTTTAATTAGATTTAACTGATCAGATTTCAATGCCTTTGGAATGGTGAAAAGAATATTCATGTGTGCATGAGGTTTTAGTCTTAACAACTAGCTAAAGCTAGTAATATATTAGAAAAATGGAAACTCTCATTCTGTTACTTTTGTTAGTTAAGCAATGTTACCTAGTTTAAAATAAACACACTTTTATTTTAATGTGTTTTTATTGATTTTTTTAGAGAGAGGAGAAGGGAGAGGAAAGAGAGATAGAAACATCAATGAGAGAGAAACATCCATCAGCTGCCTCCTGCATGCCCCCTACTAGGATTGAGCCCGTAACCTGGGCCTGTGCCCTGACCGGAAATTGAAACGGTGACCTCTTGGTTCATGGGTCAACACTCAACCACTAAGCCACACTGGCCAGGCAAGAAACACAATTTTAACAGATTTTAAAATTCACACATTATATTGCTTTTGAATCTTTTTTTTTCTCTTAGTCAGATATAAATTAATCTGAATGATTTCAAAGTTTACCTGAAACTTTAGAGTGTGATGAATTCTACACAGGTTTTTCTTTTCCTTTCCCAAGCCAAATTTGATGTTATCAAATAGTCCTAATTTCATTGAAACAATTATTATTTGAAATAGTGTGTCTTTTTAAAGAGAGGTTATCAACCTGGGCCAATTTTGCCACCTCTTTTTTCCCAGGACTGGGGACATTTGGCAATGCCTGTAGGCATTTGTCATCACAACTGGAGGGTAGTGGTGTGACTGACATCTAGTGGGTCAAGGCCAGGAATGCTGCTAAACATCCTACAATAGGCAGGACAGCATTCATGAAGAGTTAGCCAGCTTCAAATATCAATAGAGCTGAGACAGAGAAATCCTGATTTAAAAGAAATTAATCTCCTCTTCTGAATATGAAGAAATGAGTCTGTGAAAGTTCATAAATGAAGTAAAAGTGTGGGTGTTCACTCCTGTGTTTATCCTGACTCTAGGATTCTCAACCGTATCTTGGTTTTCCTTGCATTTTCCTAGTGATGCTCTGATACCTAGACATGGCCCTCTGACCAACTGTAAACAGACTGATCCTGCAATGGGGTTCATCTCTCCTTAAGGGCTTAGGTGTCTCTATGTTGTACCCCATTTTTTTCTTTCTCCTCCATGATATTACATGATCCCCAAACCCTAAACATCTTATTTACATTTCTCAAGCTAGAAACTACTCCTTTTCTCCAGATTCATCAGTGTCTTTCTTCTTACATTTTTTAAACCCTAGAGTATGCCCCCATCTCAACTGGAAGACTATAATATATTTTATATAAGGATTCCAGAAATCCTTAAAACAGGAAGCTAAAGTCCTGTTTCAGATAACCATCTTGCACTATGGTGAGCTCTACTTGTCTACCTTAGAGGTCTACCATTACTCCTGCCAGAGCTAGAATAATGGACAGACCCAATCCACAGAACACCAGCTCTCATATGTTCACTCTGGATGCATAGCAATCCCCTCAATTAATTAGTATCAGCCCCAGCTGGTCCTTAGAAACCTTCTTTTCTTCTGACAGTTATTGGTGGGGTGCTCTCCATGTCCCCATCTGTCACTGGTGGGCTTCTTGGGATGCTGCAAGAATAAGAATTTCCCCGCCCTAACCGGTTTGGCTCAGTGGATACAACGTCGGCCTGCGGACTGAAGGGTCCCAGGTTCGATTCCAGTCAAGGGCATGTACCTTGGCTGCGGGCACATCCCCAGTAGGGGGTGTGCAGGAGGCAGCTGACCGATGTTTCTCTCTCATCGATGTTTCTAACTCTCTATCCCTCTCCCTTCCTCTCTGTAAAAAATCAATAAAATATATTTTAAAAAAAGAATAAGAATTTCCTGAGGCTCCTATGGGAGGATGAGGTATTGTGGAAAGCTTTATTGATGAGGTAATATTAAGGGGATTTCTTTCCAAGGTCCCACCTCCCTCTATCTTGCCATGGAAAAAGTCCCATTTTATCTTCAGCAGGGCTAAGATCAAAACTATTACATAGAGTTTCTGCTCCCTATTTGCACAGTTCAGTCCAGCATCTGGCTAGCTTAGTTTGTGTTCCCAGCTGTGGTCCATTGCATGTGGAGGCCATATGGCCATGGGCCATGCAGCTTCTAGGGGCACATGACTCTGGAGGCACATGGCCCATGTGGGTCATGGAGCAAATGAGAAACAGTAGTACAAGTGGGAAACAGGAGTTCAAGTAGCAAGAGGAACAAGAGAGAATTCTTTGGGGAATTTTACCCTTCCAAGATTTTTCAGGCTTGCAGTGGATCCACCCCTAGCCTATTATATTTGTTCCCAGATTAGACTGACAGACAAGCACCTTCCCTACATCACCCTCACTTTACTTGCATGCACCCATCTTCCCCTTTGTTGGACCCCTTCTTCCAGTGATTTTCAGGAAATGGAATGGTGGTTCCCTGGGAAGAGTAAAATTGCAGCTTTCTGGTGAAGCTGCCCAGATGACCATGCTTATAATGTCTGCCCTTCCCTTTGTTCCTTTCCTATTATTACTATTAATAAACTAGCTAGTTACAATGGTAACGTGAGGATTCTAAATAGTGATCAACCTTCTAATAACTTTGATAGTTTAGGGACTTGCCAATATTTTATTGCTTTATTGAGCTAAAAATCCTAGGAAGTTGTTTAATGGGTTTCCTAATCAAGTGAGTCAATCCCATGATCGTTCAAGGCAAATAATTTTTTATTTTATTTTTTAAAATATGTTTTTGTTGATTTCAGAGAGAGGAAGGGAGAAGGAGAGAGTTAGAAACATCAATGATGAGAGAGAATCATTGATCAGTTGCCTTCTGCATGCCCCCTACTGGGGATCGAGCCTGCAACCTGGGCATGTGCCCTGACTGGGAATCGAACCTTGACCTCCTGGTTCAAGGGCCAACGCTCAACCACTGGGCCACACTGGCTGGGCGTTTTGTTTTATTTTTCAGTCATGCTCTTCTCATTTGAACAATAGACCCAAGAATTTTCATCCACCTATTTGCAAGGGCAATATTATATGAAAAAAACAACAACACACATTTTCCTCATAATAGTTCCCTAGATACTTCCCAACACAGCAAGCTGAATTATTCCTTAATCTTACCTTCCCTAGGTGAGTCAGTTTCACACTCTTTTTACAAAATGCAAGAAAGTTTGTAAGGAGGTTGCTAATTTTCCACTTGTTTTGTCAGGAAGGACTAAAATAGGTAATTCCTTTTCATTGTGTTTTAATAATTATTTTCTTTCAGATATCATTAATCTTTAATAAGTACCTAACTCTATCTCTTTTTCCACATTTCAGTGACTACCTCCTATCTCCTGCTTATTCTTCACTGCTATTTCTCCATGCTGTTTCAAAATAATAACATTCAAAGAGGAAGAAAGAATGAATGATCATAAAAAATAAAGAAAATTAAAAGAAAGCAAAGACATCCTAGAAAGGAAGGAAGGCATGAAACAACTCGAATTCTAGAAAAGAAAGGATCTAATAAATACTAATGTCTATAAATTTCCCAGAAAATAACGTAGGAAATGCTGCTACAGTGTGCTTTACAAGGAAATGAGGATAAAGTGTGCAAGGGAACAAGCTGGGGAAGGTATGCGACAAAAACAAAATATACCAAACCTTATGGGATGCAGCAAGAGCAGTGCTTAGAGAGAAATTTATAAATGAAAATGGAGAAGAAATTTCTCAAATTAATAACCTACTCTTCTACCTTAAGAAACTAGAAAGAGAAGAGCAAACTAAACCTAAATCAAACCAAAAGAAGGTCATAATAAAGAGCAGAAATCAGAAGTTGGTTTTTTTGGAAAGTTCAACAAAATTGACAAATGTTTGGCTAGTTAGACCAATGGGGAAAAATAAGGGAAGACTCAAATTACTAAACTCAGGAATGAAAGAGGGGATATCACATCACGATCAGCCTTACAGAAATTAAAAGGATAAGAGAAGGGTTGTGAGCATTTCATACCACTGCCCTCTGCTGAGTATTGTTTTGTTTGGCTCCCCTGAATAGAACGCAGTTATTGATTTGAATGAGTGCATATGAAGGATGCAAAATATTGTGGGAAAGGGCACTGAATTATATCGAGGCTGAGTCCTATAAATGATTCCTATAAATTATCACCTTCACTGAGATTACTCTCATCAGCAATATCAGGCATTATATTGTTCTCCTAAGGATGCTTCCTGCCCCATTTGGCTTCACTTACTTTACACTTTAAGGAGCATCACCAATGAATCTACTAAGAATGCTTATACAAACATTTTAAGTTCTTCCGTATTTTTGGTCCCATATCTACTTTTTTGGAAAAAAACAAAATAATAGTTTTTAGTAAATTTACAGAGCAGTGCAGCCATCATTACAATCCCTATTTAGAGCATTTCCGTCACCCCAAAAAGTTTCATGCCCATTCCTGTATTTCATTTTATTTGTATGGGACTTGTGTGTTATCTTCCCCTTCACCATCCTTTTCTCTGTTAGCTCCCTCACCTCTACTTTGGGGAGGAAGGGGCAGGAAGAGATTAACCAAAGAATTTTTATGCATATATGTATAACCCATGGACACAGACAATAGTATGGTAGTCCTTGGAGGGGCGGGGTAGAGAGGGTCAATGGGGGGGTGGTAAGGGGACATCTGTAATACTTTAAACAATAAAGATAAATTTTCTAAAAAGCAAAAGAAGGGAGTGAACATTACATAGGCGGTTTACCTGACACTATGCTAGGTGTTTTATATTTGTTATCTAATTTTTACATGTTTAATCTCCTCTCATCTTTAGAGCACAGAAAGAACAAAATATCAGCAACCTCAAATAAATAAGTATATAATTATTTGATATATCTTATGACTGCTCTGCTTTCTAATTCACTAACTTCTGTGTCCATTTTCTGCCCCATTTCTTGCCGACTGTACTTGCCCTTCTCATCCACGCATCTGCCCTGCCTGGCTTCACCATTTTCCTTGCTCTTGTTAAGGTCACCAGTGATGTTTCAACTAACAAACGCTTTACAGTCTATTTTTTTAGTTCCTGTTTTCATTGAGGATCTAAGTATTAGGCACTGCGCCAGGTGCTCATAATAGAAAAAGGAAGAGGGGATGGTTTTGCCTTTAAGGAGCTATAGTGTGGTGGGGAGACAGAACTGTGGGACCATCTAAAGGGGGCCACCATTTCTCCTGCCCAGCCTACTGTCACCCAGTGGAAGCATGTGCCCAACATGGTCAGGACGTCTCATTTTCAAGTTAAGTTGGAAGCGTGGATTTTTATGTGAAATCATCCAGATTTAAATGTTGGCAACGAATGTAAACATGTCTTTAGTATTATGTGGGTGCATCCAAACACACCTGAAGACCTGTTCTGCCCTGCTCCCTTGAAGCCACCCATTGGTGACATCTCCTCTCTGCCTTGCTCATTGTCTTTGGAGAAGACACACATCGTAAGTGTCCAGGAAATTTTGCCACTGTGTTTCTGGGGATAGGAGAGAAAAGCTTACAGTCTCATCTGCCCTGGTCACTAAACTTGGGACCAGAACTTCAATTGAATTAAACAGATTAGATTAATTATTTGCCAAAGTCATGCTCACAATATGGAGCTGGCATAGAAAAATAAGAATTTTGGGGAGACGTTTTACTTTTATATCAGTACACTTTACAGTGGGGCCTTGACTTACGAGTGTCCCGACTAATGAGTTTTTCGAGATACGAGCCCTCGGCCTATTCTTTGCTTTGAGTTGCGAGCTAAAATTCAGGTTACGAGCCGGCTTCAGATACCCCACCGCTAGTTGGCACAGCGAATGTCACAGTGAACGCCACAACATCAGCTCAGCATTTCAATTCATTGTAATGGTGAAAATTGATTTGACATACGAGTAATTTGAGTTACGAGCTCTGTCACGGAACGAATTAAACTCGTAAGTCAAGGCCCCACTGTAGTACCATCCTCCTATTAATTTAGTGAATCATGTGGTATTATTCTCTGCAACTTCCCTGCACCCAAAGAAGTCATTGGTGTCTTTGCTCATTTCTTATAAAACTTATTATTTTTAAAGAGGAAGTTAGATAAAAATATTTTCAAAAGCCAGTACAATACATAGAAGACCACTGTATGACATATCTAGTGTATTTGGTCCTTGGGATCACTGTACTCAATCATTTGCGCATATAAAATTCAACAAATGATGTGATAAATGCTAAAGATCATTATGGTAGATGAGTGGATGGTTTTCATGTTGTTGTATTCATTTAACCGTGAACAGATATCACCAAGGTCTGATTAGATGGAAGAAATGAGGAAATAAAATGCTTTAGCAAATTTAAGCAAAAGAAAAAAATTAGCACCATCCAAAACCTGAGGAAGGGTGACTTGAAAAACTCACATCCAAATATGTTGCCTATACTGTAATGTATTGATTTCATGAATTTCAGAAAACATTAGTCTAAACAAAAGGTATTTATTATCCAGCATGGTGTACCTACTGGTGAAGTGTATGAATGACTCACATTATTCACTCTGTCCAAAGGGAGATGGGTGATAATTTTTAACTTGCAAATTTCCTATTCTATTTCAATGAAAGGGAAGGGTATCTGCAAAAATTGAAAAGCCAAGTATCAGTGCATAAAAAATAAATAGAATACCTTTTGTCCCCATATTTCAGCTTTATGAAATTGGGTTGGATATATATGGTAAGAGAAATATACATTTTACTGTACCCACAAAAAACTGGGCACAGTAGATGCAGAATATAAAAATAAGAATTGACCTTTAACAATTGTATATAGCTTGGAGTGTAAAGTCTCAGTGTCATTCAGAGTGCAGATCTCCCCCTTAGACATGTATTAACTGCGTGGAAATTAAGTTTATAAACACTTGTATACAACACAGTGTGTTCCACTTAAGACAGTTCATATAGAAATTTCACCCACAGAGTTGGCCTTTCCCTCCATTTTCCACAGTGTGAAAAACTGTCCCCTAAAATTGTTGGATGTGTCATTTCAGTGATCAAGGGAGGACCCCTGGAAGATAACTATCGATTGAAGCAGTTCCATTTTCACTGGGGGGCCATCGATGCCTGGGGCTCTGAGCATACTGTGGACAGCAAATGTTACCCGGCAGAGGTATGTTGAGAAGCTCAGGAACAGTGACAACTGCGGAGGAGCGGGGATAGTTCTGAGTTTCTAGTTTGAAGAAATTATCAGGAAGAATCAAGTGATTCCTATAAATCTAAATAGCTCTCTCAGGGGCATATTAGATTATTCCCAATTATTACATGTAAAATAATAACTGCCCTCATCTCAAATAATATAGTTTAAGTCAACCTTAAGATTATAAAATGGACTTCTTTCAGAATTCTAAACTAAGTTCAAATCATAGGCTAAAGTAAAAACCTAGGCAACAGTGCAGGACCACCACATCTAATTAATCCAAGTGAGAGATGGTGGGAACCTAAATGAAGAAATAGATATAAAGAGTGAGATTTAGCAAGCATTTCTAACCTAAGAGCAACAGCACTTGAGGTGGGGTCCTCTTTAGGAAAGGAGAGGAGAGGAAAGGAAGGTAAGCATGACCTTGAGGGTCTTACTTGGGAGGCTGGATAATGAAACATTCATGAATGATGGATGAGGAATAATTTGTAGTGAAATATAGGGAACACATAAGCACATAGAATTTCTTCTAACAATTTCCCCCTAATTTAGTTTTGTGTTAGCTTTAAAAGAAACATTTTAACTGGTTCTCACTCAAAGAAATGTGTCTTCAACTCCTATCTAATTCCCATAGGGAGAATTTATTTCTCTCAAGATAAGCATCTCTCCTTTATATGCAAATGGTTTGGGATATGAGTGTTTCATGCACATCAGGGTGAGAATGGACAAATGTTGCTCCCTTACTGAAATGTTACTCACTCTGCTATATATATTTTCTTTTATTTTCCTTCCCAAATAAATGTCTTCCAAATTAATTTCTGCTGCTGCATACATTTCTTCTTGTTCTTTATTTTGATTTCGTATGCTTTTCCCAGTGGCTTTATTATGGGTGAGGAAACATGTTAAAATATAATGTTGAATAAGGCTATTTTTGATCGATCCTGTGTGGTCATGTGTCAAACCATCTTTTAATGGCGTTTCAGCTGCACCTGGTGCATTGGAATTCAGTCAAATTTGAAAACTTTGAGGATGCAGCACTGGAAGAAAATGGTTTAGCTGTGATAGGAGTATTTTTAAAGGTAAGAAAAAGTTACTAACTTTAACTGATGTGTAGTATTCTAGGATGAAAAGACAGAACATTGCATGACTAAGTTCTAAGAATATTGGGATAAAAATAAACAATGGTTAAAATATCAGATTATTATGAATATATTTTAAATGGTATAAAAATGTACGGTCCAATAGAGTAGTCACAAGCCACATGTGGCAACTGAGCACTTGAAATGTGGTTACTTTGTGGAACAGTTTTTAATTTTAATGAATTTAAATTTCAAACCTTATAGTTAAATGGAGGGGCACCTTTCCCTGTAGGTATGCTGATCCTATCAGCAAACAGCTTGCTCTTTTGTTCTGTTCTAATTTAATTCAGTGATATTTATAATATTCTAAATTACCAGTTTAAGTATAGTTTAAGTAGTGTGGTTGGTTTGTTTTTATGTAATCACCAGGTGGTTAATTTTAATTCACATTCTGTTGTAATTTCAAAAGTGAGTTGTCAATTGTTTTTAATATTTGCTCATTGCTTTTTCTTTAGCTAGGGAAAAATCATGAAGAGCTACAAAAATTGGTGGATACGTTGCCATCAATTAAGCATAAGGTAATATTTTTTTTCCAAAGGCACTTGTAATATATTTTATGTTTAAGTCCCAGAGTGGAAATACTAACAAAACCCTTTGAATTGGGAAATGTAATTAACTTCAGTGTAATTCAGGTTATCTTTGAAAGTTTCCTAGACAACAATTTGGGTTTTGGTGCTTGTGTGTTGAGAGCACCCCTGGCCCTCAGGGTACAGCAGGGATTTCCTTGGTGGGCACTGGCCACTGGTTTTGCTGCCATGCCCTGAGCATTCAAGGACTTGGGAACATAATGGGTCCCCTCCTCTGCTCCTGACACTTGCTCCCTCTCAGTCCTTGTGGACACACATAGAGCAGCCTTCTTGACTCTAGCTACCCTCCCTCAGGCAGGAAGCAGAGAAAAGTTGGACAGAAACTTGGCTTGTCCACCTCTAAATAACAATTACCCATATCCTTCAGGACGGATACCTTTGTCCAGCCCCAAGATCAGTTGTTCAATATTCAGAATCCCAAAGGGGCTGCTCCCTGGAAGTCCATATGTTGCTATCTTTCTCTTTCCCTCCCCATCTCCTCCTCTTTCCTTCCTTCTTCTTTCCCACTCCCTTTTGAGTCTAGGATCCTGGCTCCTCCTAATTTGCATTGCATTTTAGAAAGGAGGATGCTATTAGTCTCTTGAAAAAAGGAAGCCTCCTTCTTTGTGCACCAGCCACCACCTAATGCCCCCCAAGAATTCAGAGGAGACCACCTGCTGGAAACTCGCTAGAATGGAGGGGGAAAATGGGTTCTGCTGTGTTCCCACTGAGGAGTGTCAGAAATACAGAGTTAATTGCAGGCATGGGCGTGCGTGATTCTGTCCAGAGGACCTAAGGAGCTCCTCTGGACACGGCTGGTCCCCAGACACTCCTAGAGTTGTTGCCTTGTCATCTGATTCCTGAGTGGTGGTCCTCACCATGAAATGATAGTTTGGTGACCCTTTCTCTTGGCCAGGATACCATAGTGGAATTTGGGTCATTCGACCCTTCCTGCCTGATGCCCACCTGCCCGGACTACTGGACCTACTCAGGATCCCTGACTACCCCACCACTCTCCGAGTCCGTCACCTGGATCATTAAGAAGCAGCCTGTAGAGGTTGATCATGATCAGGTACACTCTTTCCACATTTCTGTATGAGGAAATTCTAGTTTTCCTCTTCAAAACAAGCCTGGGCTAAAACTTTGGGATCAGTTTTTAACTTATAATGCTTATACATTCTTATTAAAATGTGCTAACTTCTTGTCTAATTTGGGTATGAATTAGGAAATGTGTCAAATTAACCAGAAAGAGCCAAAACCGGTTTGGCTCAGTGGATAGAGCGTCGACCTGCGGACTGAAGGGTCCCGGGTTCGATTCTGGTCAAGGGCATGTACGTTGGTTGCGGGCACACCCCCAGTAGGAGATGTGCAGGAGGCAGCTGATAGATGTTTCTCTCTCATCGATGTTTCTAACTCTCTATCCCTCTCCCTTCCTCTCTGTGAAAAATCAATAAAATATATTTTTTTAAAAATAAAAAATTAAAAAAAATTAACCAGAAAGAGAAGTTAAAACTTAGGAAACAGCCTGGCCAGTGTGGCTCATTAGTTGAGTGTCAACCTATGAACCCAGAGGTCACTGGTTCAATTCCCAATCAGGGCACATGCCCAGGTTGTAGGCTCGATCCCCAAAGGAGGGCATGCAGGAGGCAGCCAATTAATGATTCTCTCTCATCATTGTTGTTTCTATCTCTCTCTCCCTCTCCCCTCCTCTCTGAAATCAATAAAAATATATTAAAAGAAAGAAAAGAGAACATCTTGAACAAACAAATAAATAAAAGGGTAACTTCTACTGGGTTTTTAGAGCTTCTCTGTGTCTGCACTTTAATAAAAATAATCAGCTCAAAATAATCCTTATGCCAAAGGCATATTTTGGGGTCACAAATTCTGCTCCCCTTTATCTCCAAATGGGGAAAGCTTTTCTAACTATGTATCAAAACCAGAATTCGTAAAGAAAGCAACTAGTGAATTAGACTGTGTATTTTTTTTAATTCTGTGTGACGAAATCCATTATAAACAAATGACAAAATACAGATCTTGCCTGCCCATAAGCCTGGCCTTGGTTGCCTATACATTTAATCTGCTACTATCCTTCATATTTAAAAATTTACATGACACTGAAAAATAAGTAAATAAAATAAATAAACCATAGGGTCAGTGTCCTATATGGCAAACTTTGGAAATAAAATTTCAACAGGGAAAATTTCAACAGAAAAAAAAAAGATAGAGGTGTCATCTATAATCCTAGTCACCTACAATCTAACCACTCAGTGTTAATCATTGTTTGGGTAAATCCTTCTGGTTTATCTGTATAAATATATGTTGTTTTTTAAACAAAATGGAATCATTCTGTATGAACCATTTTGCTGCTCTTTTCACTCATTGATGTGTGGAATACTTTATAGATAATAAACATTATCTTCGGTATTATTTTTAATGGCTATGTACCAATCCATTTTATAGATCTAATGGTGTTTGGGCTATTTCTAATCTTTGCAATTTGTAAAAAAACAAAACAAAACAACAGCAACAACAAAACAGAACAACCTTAGTTACTTGGACACATTCCTATTTAATGAGGGTATAATGAGGGTATACATGTAATTTGTAAGTAGGGTAATTGTTTGGTGCTTGCCTCTGGTCCCAATCCTGCATCTGCAGCTCTGCTGTGCCTCAGGTTGTCCTTCAAGCTGTATTGCACCTGACTGAATAATGAGAAAGGTTATGAATAGGTTTTCCGACTGGCTTGAAGTTGAGTGTCCACCCCATAGTTGCCCAGAAAGGCAAGGTGCTACTGATTAATGCTATTGCCACATTAATGAACCCTTGATTTGGGGTTGCTCCTTTTGTACTGAGCTGCTGTGTCTAATACATCGGCCACTAGCCCCATGTGGTCATTTAAATTTAAATATAAATACATTAAAATGAAGATTAAATTAAAACATCACTTCCTTGGTCACACTGGCCACAGTTGAAGCGCTCAGAAGCTATCTATGGTTTGTGTCTACCCTAATGAACTGCAGAGAACCTTGCCATCGTTTAAGAAAGTTCTTTTTTTTTTTTTTATCATTTTCTATATTTTAACCATCTTATATTTAAACTTATCCAAGTTAAAAGATTTTTTAACTAGTCTAAGAAAGTTCTTTTGGACAGTGTCAGCAAGGTGCGTCCCAGTGTCCAGGTGCGGTAAGCAATCAAGGATACATTGTGTTAACAATTCAGCTAAAAATTGAAAAGAAAAAAAACCCCACAAAAAAAAAAACACCCCACAAAAACATTTTTGGTGCTGTTACTTTATGTACCAGGCCTTTCCTTTTTCATTCAGTGAGCTGCTGTTTTAACTATTTCAAGACGAGGTTCCTGGAATCAAAGATGAAGTAACTTGTTCTTGGCAAATGGCCAATATGTGGGGGCCAGGGCCTTTGACCGTAGTCCTTGGGTTCCAAGTGCCCGGCTGGTTTCACCACCTCCTACTGCTCTCCTCTCCACACACCTTCCTCCCTGTCCAATGCTGAAGGCATTCCTACCCAGAATAAGTTCTGCTGTGTCCAATTTTAGAGGGATGTTTCAGAGTCGTAAAAATGAAAGTAATTTATTAATGCAGTGAAGCTGTTTTTCCATTGAAATTATTTATGCTTCCTGTTTCTATTTCTAGCTTGAGCAGTTTCGGACCCTGCTTTTCACTTCCGAGGGGGAGAAAGAAAAAAGAATGGTGGACAACTTCCGCCCCCTGCAGCCCCTCATGAATCGCACTGTCCGCTCATCCTTCCGTCATGATTATATCCTCAATATACAAGCAAAATCCAAGCCATCGACCAGCCAAGCTAGCCCCTAAGACGCCCATATGTAGGTGGTGTTTTGCTTTAATACATAATAGGTTTTTAAAAACTGTTAACTAAGACTATTCTAAACACCTAATACTAATTATAGAGGTGCATTTCTTGGTATGGTAGTGCTCCTTCAGTCTTTTATTGATAATGATGTTTATCACTGAAGTAGCAACAAGAAACACAAGTTTCTCTTAAAGCAACCTGTTGGTTTTTATAATGTCTTTTAATGTCTGACATTTTTTGAGCTGTCTTTTTATATTATCAGTTAGTGGTTATATAGAGGTGTAAGTAGGGATGACAAAATATTTAACCACTGGTAAGGCACAAACTGGTACTTTCTGGCTGAACATTGGTCATGATTTTAGGTACATTTTATTTTAAAACATGGATGAATTTTCTTTTATAAGGCCTTCTCAGTGAGCATATTTGCTCTGATCTTTAGTTATCTTACTAGTAGATGATATGCTTGCTTACTTACTATCAAATTATGATACAGAAAAAAATATTATGTAATCCTAGGAAAACAAAGATTTACTGATACCTGAAAATATTTTTACATTTCTGAAGATCAGATATTTTACTTAAAGGCCTGATCATATAAAAAGCATATGCAGTGTAGAACATTTTAAAGAAAATGCTTGAAGTGCCTGGAACTTACAATTCTTTCATGACATACTTATGGAAGTATTTTTCAAATGTTTAGTAATAAATAGTTTATAATATTATTTTGCATTATTTGTACACTGTTTCATAGACAAAACAGTCTTAGCTTCCGTTTAAAACTGTCTGAACTTTATCTCCTTAGTTGATGTTCTGGGCAAGACAGGTGATCAAAATAAGTCTCCCAGTTTATATAGTGGCTTAGAAAACTTTTGCTACAGTAATAGGGGGAGAAACTTGTCAGACAGGCTGAAATCTAGGTAATTCTACGTATTCCATGGAATCCATGCCACTGTTGCCCCTGCTTGTAAATATCTTGGAATGTTTCTAATGGCCAATAAGCCTGTGTTCAGACTCAATATTGCATTAATTAGTAGTATTTCTTTCATGAATATGTTCATCTGGTCTGCAAGATAGAGTTGGATAAATATACTTAACACTACTGGACCATACACTGAAAAAAGTTATGATAAGTTTTATGCTATGTGTATTATTAATTAAAAATAAATAATTTGGTAGGAAGAAAAGATAGAATTGAAGTTGTATTTGTAAACTTAGGGGGATATATCTGCCCTAAAGAAGGTTGGAAGGGGGAGTGAAGGCATTTGCTTCTAGGGTGCATGCCTTTTCTGGGAAAGGGAAGCAAGTATACCTTGGGAAATGAATATAATTCTTAAAAAGATAAATGTGGGGGGGAAAGTTTACCTCAATTGATCTGTTTCAAACCATAGTTGTCTTTGAAAGGGTAAACACACAAGATATACATTATTCCTCTCACACAAGCTTCCCTCCTAGGCCTCTTGCAAACTCGTAATGCAAAATTCTATTGCTGTGAGTCTTCCAAATTGGAGCCAGAAGCAATGTACAGAACACCCGCTTACCCTTATATCTTAGAGGTACAAAGGGTGTACAGTTGACCCTTGAACTGCATTTAAAATGCGTGGGTCCACTTACATGAATTTTTTTTCAATAAATATGCACAGTACTGGAAATATTTTCTCTTCCTTATGATTTCCTTAACATTTTCTTTTCTCTCGCTTACTGTATTGTAAGAATGCAGTACATAATATACAAAATATGTATTAATCAATGGTTTGTTATCAGCTAGGCTTCTAGTCAACAGTAGGCTATTAGTAGTTAAGTTTTGGGGGAGTCAAAAGTTACACACAGATTTTTGACCATACAAGGATGTCAGTGCTCCAAGCCCTGCATTGTTGAAGGGTTAACTGTACAGGGTGGGGCAAGAGTAGATTTACAGTTGTTTGTATGGAAAATAATACAATAATTAATAAATTAAAATACAAGAATAAACTCAGTGTTTTGCATACTCACAACTGTAAACCTACTTTTGCCCCGCCCTGTATTTATAGGGTGTTTCTCAGTTTATAACTCCTGATTTACTTACACCTCATGTTCTGGTATAGTTTATAACAGAACCCTCTTTACTCTTAGCCATGTCCTGTATGTATGTTTGCATAATACATTTTTGGTCACCTTCCCTGCGGAGGTTATGGAAACTGCCTTGGGGTGTGGTTTCATGCATGCCTAAGTTATCTGCCCCCAAAAGGGATAATAGAGATTCCCTGGCTACTGAGACACCCTAGCAGGAAACATTTTATGTCTTTATGTCTCCAAAAGTGTTTTACTGCTACCTTCCTAGACCTGAAGGGGATAAGATCTGTCAAAGGGCTTGAGAAAGAATTTTGTATTTAAATTGCTGCTCATCTTCATTAAGTAATGCTAGATTAATAAAACCATCTTTATAATATTAGTATTTGTTGAACGAGCTTTTCTTCCTATTAGTTGTTTTGAGTATGGAACATGTGTGTAAAATCTGCAAGATATCCTAACATGTAGATCAGAAAGTGAATGGAAAACTCATAAGGATTTTACTAGCGAAGCCAGAATGGAAAGAACCACCTGCTCCCCCTCAGCTCACCTGTTTTTATGAAACCAGGGCATGATCTGCTGACATCACCAGTAGGGCAAGCTGCCAGCCCCTTTCTCCTTTCCCAGTGCTACATGGGTTAGCAGTGGTCAGCAAACTGCGGCTCGCGAGCCACATGAGGCTGTTTGGCCCCTTGAGTGTGGCTCTTCCACAAAATACCGACTTCTGCGCATGGGCCACGAAGTTTCAATCACACTGTACGTGCGCGCCCGCACGTGGTATTTTTGTGGAAGAGCCACACTCAAGGGGCCAAAGAGCCGCATGTGGCTCTCGAGCCACAGTTTGCTGACCACTGGACCGTTAAGGTAATGTTGGCTATTCTAAAACCAGGCATCCACCTCAAAAAAGTTTAGGAAGATGTCTTTCTGGGGGACATGATATTAGCAAAAATACAGTATTGAAATTGCTTTAGGTATTTTTCTTTGTCACTAGAAGAAACACATTACTTACTTGATATTTATTTAACTTAATGTTGTATTGTATTTTTAATTCAACTTTGTTAGTTGTTTCATATAAAATGTTATTGACCAAAGTGGGTAGTTCATTTAAGTGAATAAGCTCTAATTTTACCATATAATTAGTACATATAAACAATACCGGCTACTTTACAGATAAATAGTAATGCATTCTTGTGTTTATGGACTGAGTGTTTATGCCCCCTCCCCACCATCCAAGATTCATATGTTGAAATCCTAACCCTCAAAGTGATGGTATTAAGAAGTAGAGCCTTTGGGAGGTGATTATATCATGAGGGCGGAATCCTCATGATGAGGTTAGTGCCCTTATAAAGGAGTCCCCAGAGAACTTTCTCACTCCTTCCACCATGTGAGGACACATAGAGAATATGGCCGTCTATGAATCAATAACGAGGTACTTAGCAGACACCAAATTTATTGGCACCTTGATCTTATCCTCCCAGCCTCTAGACTGTAAGAAATAAATTGTGGTGGTTTATCAGCCACCCAATCTCTGGTATATTGTTACAGCAGCCAGAACTGACTAAGACATTGTCAGTATATGTACATTTTTATTACTGTTTTTTTTTTAATTCAACCAGTCTTCAGAAATGGTACTTTTGTTTGGGTTCTAGGTGGGGAGATCAGTTCTGCCACCATTCATTCTCAAACCACCTGAAGTTGTGTTGCTTTGACCTTATCACTAGACAAGACTCAAATAATAACAACTATCATTGTATAGTTCTCTCCTCCAAAGAAAACTTGTTTTTAAAAAAATATATTTTATTGATATTTTTACAGAGAGGAAGGGAGAGGGATAGAGAGTTAGAAACATCGATGAGAGAGAAACATCGATCAGTTGCCTCCTGCACACCTCCCATTGAGGATGTGCCCGCAACCAAGGTACATGCCCTTCACCGGAATCGAACCCGGGACCCTTCAGTCTGCAGGCCGACGCTCTATCCACTGAGCCAAACCGGTTAGGGCCCAAAGAAAACTTTTAATCAGTTTTTACAAATCAGCATTTTTCATATTAATATGCATTCATAAGTAGTTTATCTTGCTATTTTAAGTTATAACTGTAATCTGGAATATATATATATCCATCCATCCATATCCATCCATCCCTCGGCATAGAGTGAGGGTTGCAGAGACTTGAGACCCTGTTGTATGTCCTTGAACAAATTTAATACTGAAATTAATAGTAGGTAAAGAATGACATTTTCTGCCCAGCCAATATTGCTCAGTGGTTGAGCATCAACCCATGAACCAAGAAGTCCCCAGCTCAATTCCCGGTCAGTCAGGGAACATACCCAGGTTTCAGGCTCAATCTCCAGTTGGGAGTGTGCAAGAGTCAGTAGTCTCATTGATGTTTCTATCTCTATATCCCTCTCCCTCTCTCTTTAAAAATCAATAAAAACATATTTATAAAAAAATGAAATTTTCTTTCCTGAGGGTTTCTGCATTGACCATTGAGTGAATCCTAATACCATTGTCCTACTAGAGCAAGAAAAAAAAAACTAATTGAAAGAGTCCAAACCTGACATTAAGAGTAGACATTTTTTAAAAATCATTTTATGCTTGCAGTAAATAAAAAATATACTTATGGGCTATCCTTTGGTCTCTTTATATTAACTAAGACATTTAATAATAGCATTATCTACTACATGATTTATATAAGTAAAATATTTTTTAGATAATCAGCTATTTTCTACTGACAACATAAAATAAAAATTTAGGCATTTTCCCATAGAAGGGGCATAAACTGAAATATACTTACTTGAGAATAAGTAGATATATTTTAGTCACCAAGGAAAATAGGAAATGTATGTTATATTGCCGAGTAAAGATAACCTTGTTTTATTTATTGGAATATCAAAGCAGAATGTATCTTTGCATTAAATGTTTACATACCTTATTTTTATCTTATGATTTATCCATTTAAATCAGTGGTTCTCAACCTTCCTAATGCTGCGACCCTTTAATACAGTTCCTCATGTTGTCGTGACCCCCAACCATAAAATTACTTTCGTTGCTACTTCATAACTGTAGTTTTGCTACTCTTATGAATTGTAATGTAAATATCTAATATGCAGGATGTATTTTCATTGTTACAAATGGAACATAATTAAAGCATAGTGATTAATCACAAAAACAATATGTAATTATATATGTGTTTTCCGATGGTCTTAGGCGACCCCTGTGAAAGGGTCATTCGACCCCCAAAGGGGTTGTGACCCATAGGTTGAGAACCGCTGATTTAAATGATGGTAACTATAATTTGGAAATGACTTTTAAAATTAGGAGTATCTTCCTAGAAGACATTCCTTCTTGTTATTATGTGAAAGTCTAGTGCAATTTATAAGAAATGTTACAGCAACCCGAACACTGATGCTTTCAGTATGGCAGTAATTCTCAGCATAAGTCCTGGTCACAGGAAATAGAAAAATGGTGATTTGCATAGGTACATTCTGCATCACTCAGGGCATTCTCTAGTTTCAGAATATAACTGCCAAGTCTCTACCTTCAGGGAGTTAAAGATTCAGTGCAAGAAGACTTGTGAAAGCAACAAAGTGCAATATATTGTGATAGGTGTTATGAAAGGTGAAATACCTATGCTTGGAGCGCAGGCAGGGCAAATACCTAACCCACTTTTGAGGGGGTGGAGAAGTTTTCGCACCGGTGATGATATAGCAGCTATTGCCAGGCACCATGCCAATACGTAGCATACGTTTGAAAACTATTGTTACTATCTCGATTTTTACAGATAAACTGAGGACTAGACATTAAGGAATTTACTCAAGATCAGAGAGCCAAGGCTTGAGTTTCCTAGTCCATTCAACTCCAAAGCCTCTAATTACCGATGCACTGAACCGGACAAGATCAACTTGGAGGTGTGTTACTCCAAGTGTCTCTGTAAGAGGGAGTAGGACAGGCTTTATGTAGAGTTTGTGCTTCCGTTGAATGATTCCAAGGAGGAACTAGGGGGAGCCGGGGCAGTTTAGGAATTGGGTAGCTCAGTAATTTTGATTTAGAGGCAAGAGGTACAAAGCTAGGCCAGGGAGTTAAGTTCACCTCTGCAGCCCCCAGATGTGAATGGAAAGGGGTGAGTCTGGAGCTTGGTCTGAGGCGCTGATTGGTGGAGTCGCGGGAAGGAGGCGGAGCCTGGGAAGTCGGACTGGGAAGCAAGGCGAGCTCTGGGGGGGGGGGAGGATGAGGAGAAAAGAGGAAGAAGTGTTACTTTAACCTCAGGGCCCCAAGCCATTCCACTATGGTGTCGAGAGCGGTAGGAGGGAAGAGGTACTTGCAGGCCGGCTTAGCGATTCTCGAGAAGGAGACATTTATTTGTGCAGAGTTTCGGAAGACGAGCCACGACCGCCGAAAACCTCCCCCTTTTTTTTTTTTTGGGGCGTTTTGGGGGGGGGGGCCACCCCCCCCCCCTCAGAGAAAAAAGGCGGGCCCCGTGGTTTCCTTTCGGGGGCCCCGCCAACTGCGCCCCTCGCCGGGAGCCCCCCCTTTCCCGGCAGGCTCTTGTGGGCGTGGCGGCGCCGGCAACATGGCGGCGCCCCAGACGGCGATGCTTCCCGGACAAACTAAGGTAAGTTGGGCTGAGGGAGATGATCTGGTTGGGAGAGGGGACGGAGCGGGCCGAGCCTGGGCATGGAGGGTGTGCATGCAGGAAGGAAGGGGGAGCTAGGCCTAGCCGGCGACCGCGGCGGCTCGAGCCTCCCGGGGCGCTCTCCTGTCCCGGACGTCGGTGGGCTCTCGGTGGGCTCCGGGAGGCGATCAGGAGAGCAGGTGGCGGGATGGAGAACACCTGCCGTCTGGGCGGGCAAGGGCGAGGGATGGCCAAGGCGTGTTCTGTAAATAAAACACGGGAAGCAAGATTTCACTCCCGAGCGGCCGAGGGATTTCCTGTCACTGGGCGCCGAGGAGAGCGGAGCCCAGGCAGACAGCGCCCCAGGTGCGGCCACTGACGCCGAGTGTGCTTGTCTGCTTTTCGCAGCCACAAAAAGTACAGGGCCGCCCTGAAGAAGGAGAAACGGAAGAAACGCCGTCAGGAACTCGCTCGATTGAGAGACTCAGGTAACCGGCCTCTTACTCCGTTTTCTGTGTATGAATGAAATTGCTCTCCCACTGCCCCTGTCAGAAGGATGCTGAGAATTGCATCTGGTAGGAATTGCTGGGGCGACTGCTTCCCAAGTCAAGTTATGTTAGACCCATGTCGGAAACCTTGTTACCGTACTACAGAGAAGGAAAAGGTCTTGGTGAATCATCACCCACTGATTGTGTGTAGGTACTTATGAACTATCTAATAGTACAGGTGCACACATCATGAATTACAGCAGCTAGCACAGCCCTTGCACGTATTAAGTATTCGGTGAATATTTTTCTTTGCAAAACCAGCAGGAGTTGAGGATTTTAGACATTTTGCAAGTTTCTCTCAAACTTTAGTAATATAAGAGACCCTTTGTTGACTCAAGTTGTTATTGATACGTTATTGACATATATAAGCATAAAACTAGTTACCAAACTCTTAACTATAAATACTATATATACAAAACCAAGTGAAATTACACATCCAGTAAAAATCACATCTACATTAGTGTGATGTTACAGATGATGGGAGACAGATACAACATGAATATGGCACTGATTGGAATTTGAAATGCTATTACTAATACTATTGCCCTGTGGTTATTTTTCTGTTAAAATACTGTGGAACATTCATCTGTACTGGCCATGGTATCGTTTGTCCTTCACATGGCGGAATCTAACATTTATATATTAAACCTGTCTGTTTAATATAATGAAATTAGTACTACTAACTTAGTTATAAAATTATATAGTAGTTACAAATGTAGATGGAAGCACTGAAATCACACTGGACTACTGAGCTATAATGGTTGCTGTACAGATTGTCCAGAATATGCTTATTAAGTTATCCTGACAATTCTTGAAGTTCACAGACCCTGGCCTTAAGTAACTAGGATTCTTGGGCCTTGAGAAACAAAGCCATAGAAGTTTTATTTACCACTGGAGTTGCCTAGTAATTATTTAGAGCAAACATGTTAAACTCAAAAGCTAACACAGGCCAAATAAATAAGGTTTAAGTTTATGTGGGCTGCAAAAAGCCCAAAAGCTTCCATTTTCATAGAAACGTAGGTTTATTTCAATAGAGACATGCTGAATACAAAGGGTTGCAATAAATGCGTAATCATTAACATAAAATAATAGAACATTTTAATAAAAATTAATATTTTTTCTTGAACATTACTTTACCAGACACTGAATTAATGCACAAATTAATAAGCGTAACACAAATAAACCTATTTTTCTTGTTCTTGGAAAGAGCAGTTTTTCTTGTTGCGCACACCAAATAAGTCAGTCCAAGACTAATGACATGGCCATTGGCTGCTAAAATATTCGCTGCTGGTATCAGTGGAGAGAAATGGTATGCCTGCACGTAAGGGGAATGAATGCAACATGATTAGTAATCAGTCATTAGCGAATGTTGTAGTTCATTATTAATAATTATGTATAACAGAATATTGTAAAAATTAAGTTATGGAATTTTTATTAAAACACTAGAGGCCCAGTGCACAAAATTCGTGCACTTGGGGGTTCCTTCAGCCCAGTCTGTGCCCTCTCACAGTCTGGGAGCCCTTGGGGGATGTCTGTCAGTCTCTGTCAGTCAGACATCCTTAGCGCTGCTGTGGAGGTGGGAGAGGCTCCTGCCACCTCCACTGTGCTCACCAGCCATGAGCTCAGCTCAGGGCTTCTGGCTGAGCAGTGCTCCCCCTGTAGGAGCACACTGACAACCAGGGGGCAGCTCCTGCATTGAGCATCTGCCCCTTTGTGGTCAGTGCGCGTCATAGCGACCGGTCATTCCACCATTCGGTCAATTTGCATATTAGCTTTTTATCATATAGGATTTCTTACATGCCATTATATTGGCTGGGCCACAGACATATTCATTGCAGGCCGCATATGGCCTAGGGGCTGCGAATTTGACATGCTTGATTTAGAGGCAATGCTTGGAATATGTAGAATGGAAAAAGTGTGTTTAACTGCAACCTTTGTTAGCACCTCCTTTTTTATTCATTTAAAACTGGTCCACTAGAGGCAGGATAAAGTATCAGGGATAAAAGGAAAAACAGGGTGAGTTCAAGCTATTGATGCTGTTAGTGATCTCCCCACCCCCTTAAAGTTCTCAGCTACCTTTATTAACCTGTTTTCTTCTAACACTTTTTTTTAAACTCTTACTTTTTTTCTTTCCATTTTAAATCCTATAGCTGTTGTTTGTATTGCATTGGATTTTTTTTAATCCCCTTTGACTTTGCAAAGTGCGTTGGGAGTGAGCCTTTGTGGAGAGGCGGTTCATTATAGCACACATTAGATGGGTAAACAGTGCCCAGAAGGTTAGATTATAGAGGTATTCTAAAAAATTGTTATAAGAGTGAGTTGACAAATGATTGGTAGAAATTTCTGAAATGTCAGCCTCTCATTTACACGTAGTCTCTTTAGCACCAGCTTCTACTTAAAATAACCTGGAATGAGCTGCCTTGTTAGCAAGTTGTAAAACTGGCATGATTCCATACATAATTGCATGTATAATACAGTTAGATATATTGTATGATCAAATATATGCAAGGATACATATATGTAGAGAATAGGCTACACCCAAAACTTTTAGTGATCACCTGGAGTGTGTGAGCTTGGTTTGAGGCATGATGAGGAGTTGAGCGAATCAGGCAACAGATACTTTTGCATATTGGCTGTGTCTAGGCCCGTGGTCGGCAAACTGCAGCTCACGAGCCACATGCGGCTCTTTGGCCCCTTGAGTGTGGCCATGAAGTTTCAATCGCACTGTACATGCACGCCCGCACGTGGTATTTTGTGGAAGAGCCACACTTCAAGGGGCCGCAGTTCGCCGACCACTGGTCAAGGCAGTGTCTAGTCCAGCGGTTCTCAACCTGTGGGTCGCGACCCCTTTTCATTTTGATGCTCAGATTGTACCAAAGTTGGGCAGTTAGAGCCTTATTATTAGAAAGTTTTGAAAACAGGACCATACCATAAATGTAAAAATTAAAGAATGTATCTGTATTTTTTCCCTGTAATATTGACTAAGGTTTTGTTCTCAGATAGTTTAATAAAACATTTAAATTCCCCCAGGACTCTCACAGAAGAAGCAGGAGGAAGAGGAGGAATCTTTTATTGAACAACAAGAAGAGAAGCTGTTGGAGATAGAGAGGTCAGCATAGACTGAGCACTTCTTGTGAAGCCAGTTATTTCATTTGAATATTATGTCTTTACTAAGGAGTATGGGTCTTTTCTAGCACCCTGTCCAAAATAAGTCTTATAAAATACCTTGGATAATTAAATCTCTAGCTGACAGGCTATAACTAGATGTTGTCATATTTTTAATGGAAGTATTTTTCTGTTTTTGCTAATTCATAAATGTTTTTGAAAAAAATCCAAACAATTAAGAAGTGTAAAAAGTGAAAGGGCTTTAATGAACTCAACACACCCAAAGATAGTCACTGTTAAGAATGTAAAAAAGAGCCCTGGCCTGTGTGGCTGAGTTGATTGGAGCATAGTCCTGTACACCAAAAGGTCATGGGTTCGATTACCAGTCAGGGCACATACCCAGGTTTCAGGTTCAATCCCTGGTCGAGTGCCTACATGAGGCACCCAATCCATGTTTCTGTCACTCTCCCTCCTCCTTCCTCTCTAAAAATCAGTAAAAAAAAATCTTCAGGTAAGTATTAAAAAAAAGAATGTAAGAGAGAAAGTATACATGTGTTTCTATAATAGGATGATATTTATATGTTTTCTGTACATTGCTTTTTTTGCTAAATATATAGGTCATTTAGTGTTGATGCAGAGATCCAATTCAACCAATTCAATGGCAACATAGTATTCATTGTATAGATATAGCATAATTTATTCTTTATTCATAATTTGTAATTTACTAATGGACATGTAGGTAATTTACTATTAGCTAACATTTGCTTACTATGTACTATTAATTTACATTCAGGTTTTTTACTATTATATAAAAAGTTGTATTTAAAAAGGCACTGGCCGGTGGCTCAGTGGTTAGATCATTGGCCAGAGCACTGAAGGGTCACAGGTTGGATTCCCTGTCAAGGGTACGTACCTCAGTTGTGGGTTTGATCCCGGTTGGGCAGCATATGGATACAGTTGATGTTTTTCTTTCACATCTGCCTTCCTCTCTGAAATCCATGGAAAACATGTCATCTGGTGAGGATTTTTTTAAAAAGTTGCAGTGACCATATATATCCTTGGTAACTGTCCTATTATTTCCTTAGGAAAATGCCTGGAAATGAAATGGTTGCGATCAAAGGATAAATACACATACAATGTAGATGGGCAGGTAGGAAGGGCTTCCCAGTTTGCAGTCTGCAGCCCCTCCAACAGTGAATCAAGGTGCCCATCTCCCCATACCTTCACTTGCACTAGGTATTATCAATTTTATAAACTCCTATAGTCAAAAGTTGTATTTCATTGTTTCAAATGTACATTTCTTAATTAGTAGGGTTGAGTATCTTTTTATATATTTTATTACATATTTATAGATTGCTTGCTTAAGTCTTGCATATTTCTCTTTTGTTACATATTTTTTAAGTTTGTTGTGTGAGCAGTGTTATTACTTGATTAAGAATATTCTTTATCTGTCATATGTGTGATGTATATTTTTTCTCATTTGTCATCAATCCTAACTTGGCTTACAGCATTAATTACCATCATTTGATTTTCATATTGTCAACTTTCATCATGTTATCTTGCCTTGGTGTCTGACTTAAAAAAGGCCTCCCTCATTCCAAGATGCCAAAATATTGTGTGTTTTATTCTCTAGTATTTTTCAGGGGGTAGTTTTGTCTTTGTTTATGTTAAACATAGTAATGTGAATGTGCTTAATGCTACTCACCTGTACACTTAAAAATGGTTAAAATGGCAAATTTTTATGGTATATTTTGCCACAATAAAAAAATAAAAATGTTTTAAGAGGAGAAAAAACTTTATAGACACTCTCTATTTAGTATGTTCATTAGAAATGTTGCTTCTTATAATTAATTCCTGTTATCTACCTAAGCACATAATTAGATGAATTGATCAAAATGCCAAACAGAAAAAAAATGTAATAGTGATTGGGAACATGGAGTAGATTCAGCCACGTCTGCATTTCAGGCCTGGCCCTGCTACTTAGTAGTTGTATTCAAGTTGCTTAATCTCTAAGCTTCAATTTCCTTGCCTTAAATACAGAGATAAAGTCAATCATAGTACCTACCTCATAAAATTGGGATAAATGCATAATACTTAACATAGTGTTAGCAGATAAGAGGTGCTGTGATAACTCTGGTTCTTATTATTATAGATTTCTGTTATAGTGCTGTCACACAGTTGATCCTTGAACAACATGAGGGTTGGGGGCACCGACTCCCTGCACAGTCAAAAATCCATGTATAACTTCAACATTTGCAGTATGCCAGTCTCTATCATGGCTAAAAGACGTGTTCCTAGAATCTGCAGTTGGAAATGGAATATATTTTCCCCATAGATTATTTGAAATTGTGACTGGGTCCCTAGACATAAAACCTTATTTAACTCCTAATGTTGCTGAAGAGATGTAGAACAATTTCTCATATTTCATTTCCCATTTCGAGATTACGTGGGGAAATGCAATCTAGGTTCTAAACACCCCCGATGGGCTAATAAACTTTTGAGCCATAACCCATCTTTAAATTAGAAACTTGTGATATTTGATGTCCAAGACACCAATTTAAGATAGCATCACTCTTTATAATTGGTCATTTTTAAAATAAACTAGACACCTGCTAATTTATTTTTATAACTCCTTGTCATCTTTTCTTAAAACCTGTAACTTTCTTCATTTTAAAGACATGATGATTTAGTTTTATTTTCCTTGTTTCAGTGCTTGGGGCAAACCACAGGAGTCTCTTAACTGTGTATAGTAGCAGTCCAAAGGCTTATGGCAGAAGATGCCAGTTTTCCCTACTGCTGCAATCCTGCAGTTGCCACTTTTAGAATGTGCAGAATAGGAAGGGTAATACATTTTGAATGTGAAAAGCTAGATGTGGCTTTGAAACTTGTTACTTGCTTTATTGGCATCTAAACATCACTATGGTCAACCGACAGGGAAAGTTGTAGTGTCAGTGTTTTATGTGAGAGATGTCACAAATACAAAATGTAGTAGTGATTTTAAGCTGTTGCCTTCTAGGAAGACAGTTGCTGAAGTAAGGGTAGTGCTTTTCTAAGATCGTTACTCATGTCTTCTGACCCTCTTACTCCCACTTAACTGCTTTCTAGAAAATGTCTTTCGTGATAGTTTAATCATTTCCAAACATGCCATTTTTTGCTATTGTGTGTGTGTGTGTGTGTATTTGTAGATTATTGCCCATTTCTTTTATTTGATTGCATTATCACATTTATAGGCAAAAATTACATGAGGAGTGGTTGCTGCGGGAGCAGAAGGCACAAGAAGAATTCAGAATAAAGAAAGAAAAGGAAGAGGCAGCTAGAAAACGGCAGGAAGAACAGGAGGTACAGTATTATCAGACAACCAGTTGACTAATTAACCCAAAACTCATTAAGAGTTATATATCTTGAACTTAAAAAAAATGGATATCACTCATTTTATCAATGTTGTAAAAAATTGTTTTATTTGCCCTGTATGTGAAATGTTTTAAAAAGTAAGTCTGAAAAAAATATTACTTTTCCTTTTTTCCCCCCTGTAAAGAGAAAGTTAAAGGAAGAATGGGAAGAACAGCAGAGAAAAGAGAAAGAAGAGGAGGAGCAGAAGCTACAAGAGAAGAGAGAAAGAGAGGTGATTCCTGTCACAGGAGGATAAACGCACTGCGTATCCTCTTAGTGAGCTGATGTGGCAAGTGATGGGGTTGAAGATTAAGGTATAGGCATAGCAGGGCTTGGGCTCCAGTTTTTTGTTTAGGAAGAGTCATGTTTTTAGTGAAGTATACACTAGAGTTTGCTTCTGGTGCTCTAGAGTTTTTCATCTGTGCATTGGCGGCTACTTTAATTAAGGTTTTTCTTCAGCTTTACCCATCTTACCCTTTTTACCAGGGATTGGCAAACTCTGTAAAGGGCCAGAGTGTAAACATTTTAGGCTTTATGGTTCATACGGTGTCTGCTGCAAACACCCAGCCCTGGCAGTGTGCCGTGAAAGCAGCCAAATGAATGGTTGTGGCTATGTTCCAATAAAACTTTATTTTTATTTACAAAAACAGGCAGTGGGCCCCTGCTTTATCCCATGTACCACTCTAGAGCAAATGCTGTTGTATATGGGTTGACTTACAGAATAATATTTTGTATGGTTTTCACATTTGATTTATAAGAGTTAACTGCTTATGACATGTCGGCAAGAATTAGTTGATTGAAAGAAATTAGGAACTCAAATATTGAGGAATTAGGAAGGTTTTTTTGTTGTTAAATCTTGACTTCCTTTCTATCTTGGGCTATAATACAATTGTAGCTAACACATAGTTGCTCATTTAAAAAAATTTATAAGGTTATATGTACATATCTCCTGTCTGTATCTTCAGGATTCTTTTTAAAGATCTGGTATATTTTGTTGCTGTTCCTTAACAGTGTATTTATTTCAAAGATACCACAGGTCATCTTTCCTGAGTCATTCATCAGGATGTATCTTTTCTGTAATATTGCTGGGTTTGATTAGTATAAAATTGGGTAATTAATCACTATATCATAGGGAAAATGCATTTATTTACACCCTAGTCATGATGGGTAGAAGCAGCCTTTTTGACCTTTGCTTTTTGTGTCTCAGGCTCAGGCTATCAGTTACTTCCAGTGCAAGTTTTTTTAGAAACCCTTATTTGAGCACTGCTTTCCAGATTAAGACAAGCCCACAGTAGTTTTTTAGGGGCAGGGCAGTTGTTTGGAACTTGTCATTTTTTAATAGAGAGTAATCAATTCCCATTTTAGTAGTAGAATATTCTTTAATTTCAGTCTTTCTGGCATCAGATAAAAGCTAAGGCTTTTTTTAAAATACTAAGGCATTTGTTTCAGAGGAAGTCTGTTGAGACATTAAGGAGAAAGGGGTAAAATGAAGTAGATTCTAAGCTTATAAAAGGGATATGCAGTCTGTTTCTGCTTTGTGCTAGATACTTCTCTAGTGGATAGAGATAAAGCATCAAAAAAGTCCCTGCTCTCATTGAATTAGTTTTCTAGAGGGGAGAGCTGGATGATAAGTAAGCAAAAAAAGCTCATTTTAAGTGCTATAAGATCATGTTAGGTGCTGTAAAGAAATAAAGCAGAGTCATGTGATAGAGTGACGAGGGGAGGGGAGTACTTTTTTAGATTGCATGGTCAAGGAAGACTTCTATGAGGAGCCGATTTGTCAGCTGATACCTGAGTGCAGAGATCTCAGGGAGAAAAGGGGTCCAGGCAGAAGGAAGAGGCCTGTGCTTGGAGTGGAAAGAAGGTCAGGGTACCTTAATCTCAGAGACCAAAGAAGAGAGTGGCAGGTGGAGAGGTCAGCAGGGTGGGCAGGGTCAGATCATGTAAGACCTGGATTTGAAGGAGGAATTTGGATTTTATATTAAAAGTAATGGGAAGCCATTGAAGGTTTTTTTTTTAAAATATTTTTTTGATTTTTTACAGAGAGGAATGGAGAGGGATAGAGAGTTAGAAACATCGATGAGAGAGAAACATCGATCAGCTGCCTCCTGCACACCCCCTACTGGGGATGTGCCTGCAACCAAGGTACATGCCCTTGACCTGAATCAAACCCGGGACCCTTCAGTCCCCAGGCCGACCTTCTATCCACTGAGCCAAACCGGTTAGGGCATTGGAAGGTTTTTTTAAGCAGGGAGTTGACTTCATCTAATTTATATCTTTACCTTTAACAGAGCATTCTAACTTTTTGTATAAAGAAGCGGGTAGTGAGCAAGGAGGCAAAAGTGGAAAAAGTGATCTAGTAAGAGAGGCAGCTGTTCCAGATAGGACATGGTGTTGGTTTGGATGAAGGTAGTGCTTAATACAGAAAAGTACACAGATTTGGGGTGTGTTTAGGCAGAGTTAATAGGACTCTAGCTAGTAGATTGAATGTACAGGGAGGGGAAAAAGGGAGGGGAGCCCTTGCTGGCTTGGCTCAGTGGATAGGGCTTCGGATTGAAGGGTCCCAGGTTTGGTTCCGGCCAAGGGCACATGCCTGGGTTGTGGGCTTGATCCCCAGTATGGGGCGTGCAGGAGGCAGCCGACCAATGATTCTCTCTCATCATCGATGTTTCTCTCTCTCCTTCTCCCTTCCTCTCTGAAATCAATAAAGAAATATATTTTTAAAAAAAAGAAAGGGAGGGGAGTTTAAGTCATACACTTGTAGGTTTTTAGTTTGAACTGAAATGGGGTGAGAGGTAGGGAAGAAGTAGTTTTCATTTGATCTTTTAAGTTACTGAGGACTCTCACATGACCAGGTAGAGTTATTAAGAAAGAAGCTAGATAGATGAGTCTTTTATGTAACGCTTTAAGGGTCTAGGGAAGAAAAGTCCGTTGACCATAATTTCAAAAACTTGTTTAAATGCCAATGAAGTCAAATCTATTGGCATATTGCAGGACTTCCTTTGCCTTATTGAAAAGTTTGAGATTTTTCATCAATCCTAATTACTACTGTTCATGTCACATTTTAGCATCTATTAAATGTTTATGATGTTTCTTCTACCATTGTGTTTTATAATATTCATAATACCTCATCTTAAAAACTAGAACATGACATATATGCTCAGATACACTAAATATGACTGTTACTGTTCTAAGATATTTTCAATATTTTTGCAATCTGAGCCAGTGAATGTCCTATTTGAATGAAAACTCACCTTTGAAATCTTTTCAGAAGATTAGTGCTGTAGAAAGCAAATTAGAAACTAAAACTTTTTGTATGAATGGGTTGTTAAAATTTTTACACATGAGATTCTTAACCAGAGAAACCAGATGTGACTTACCTGACTTCCAGGTTTTCACTAGTCCTATGTTTGCACCATTTGTAGGAGGCTGTGCAGAAGATGCTGGAGCGGGCTGAAAATGAGGTATTTTTAAAACCTTTCGTTAAGAATTTGAGACTGATGAGCATTTCTTTAAAAACAATACTTCCAGCAATGTTATTTCTGCGGTTGGCTCTGTAGATCATGTCTAAAATATCTGGGGTCACTTTTGCACCTCTGTGATTTATGCAACAACAAGAACTGCAGAAGTTATCAATGAATAAAAGCAAATGGTATTGAATCACCCCTGTGGGCTGTACTTGTGAATAAGAAACAGCATACACTCTTACCCCCTCCCCCCAACGGACCCTTTACCTTCCTGCTTCAGAGTATCCTTGATTTCTCTCAGTGGTGGTTCTCTAAAACAGTGGTTCTCAACCTTCCTAATGCCGCGACCTCATGTTGTGGTGACCCCCAATTTCATTGTTACAAATTGAACATAATTAAAGCATAGTGATTAATCACAAAAACAATATGTAATTATAGATGTGTTTTCCGATGGTCTTAGGCGACCCCTGTGAAAGGGTCGTTTGACCCCCATAGGGGTCGCGACCCACAGGTTGAGAACCGCTGCTCTAAAAACTCCTGGCCATTTTTCAGAATGCCTGGACAAAGGAAAACCTTGGTGACTGCTCTTGGTCGCTGTGGTGATGCCTGATAATGGGTGGTGACTGGGAACCAAGAGAGACACAGTTTGTGTCTCAGCCCAATTGCTTTTCAAGTCTTCATTACATGTTACAACTTAAGTTACATGGTACAACTTAATATTACTAAGAGAATCCATCTTTATTTTTGACCAAAACAGTTGAATACATTTTAAACATTTAATTCTTAATGAATCATGGTTATTTTCAACAGTTGGAAAATAGTGCCACATGGCAAAACCCAGAACCACCCACGGATGTAAGAATAATGGAGAAAGATCGAGCTAACTGTCCATTCTACAGTAAAACGGGAGCTTGCAGATTTGGAGATAGGTAACTAATTTTGCTTTATCATGTCAGAATGAAGTGCCTCAAAATGTTGAGCTTTTTGAGTTCTATTTTTAGGGGTGACTTGGACTTGAGTTTGAAGTGTTCACTGTCAGGCATCTGCTATGTTCTTACTGCTTCTCCAGTTCCCCATTGTCTGTTCTCTGCTTCCCCCCACACACCTTACCCCTACCCTCTAATAAGGGGTTTAAGGCAGAAATGAGTAAATGTAGGGAAAGCAGGTAGAATAGTGTCAGGCAAATGGCGAGCACTCTTGGAGTGTTTTTTGTTATTGTTGCCATTATTCTCTGAGAAACTCTTATTCCCTGCCTCTTTTGCATCAGTGTTTTTGAAACAAAACATTCATGTGGAAAATTAAGTGTTGATGTCTTCATTTAGCGATGTCTTCATACCTACTGTATGCCAGGCAATGGCGATTTTTATAATTTGGCCTGTTTATGAATGAGTAACTCAAATTAAGTAAATAATTCATAATGATGAATGAATCCACCCACGGCAAAATCTAATTATTACTATGCATTCTGCAGAAGAAAATTTCTAATATATTAGTGTCCTATTAATTCCAAAAAGGGATACGAATAGTCAATTTCATATGTATTCGATGAGAAACTGTATGTTGTCTCTCGTGTTTATCTTATTCATAAAATTATCCCTGCCATGAGATAATTTCCTTATGAACCTTCTCTTTCTCTTCTATTTCTTTTTAAATTAAAGCATTAATACCATTTTACATTTTTTTAAGACCAACGGTCCTCAACCCTAGATGCACATTAGAATCACCTAGAAAACTGTAACAAAAAGTATGTCCTAATTCAATTTGAATAAATCAGATTCTCTGAGACTTGGGCAGCCTTAGTTTTGAAATGTCCTCAAGTATTTCTAATGTCCCCCAGGATTGAGAGTCCCAAATGCAGGGTGGTTAACTCCTTTTATATTTTATAATAGGATTATGTATGCCCAGAAGATCTTTGAAAGGATTCACAGGATCTGGTCAATAGTGAAAGTTTCCTCTTGAGGAACTGGGAACTCATGAAACTTTATTTCCCTTTGTACTTTTACAAGTGTTTTCCAAATGTATGCTCAGTTTCATCAAGAAATAATAATGATTAATGTAAAACACCAGTGTGCAATTAAGACTCAGCATGAGTTTATATTTGTGTAGATAGTTGAACCAGATTGCATTTAAGGTCTTCCAGCTGCAGGTTTCCTCATTGATGAAACATATCTCTAACATTTCCTTGAATTTTAAGACTGTGGTCATCTGATTCTTGGATTCTCCTTCTGTTGGGCATAAGATAGAAGGGAAAATGTCCTAAGCAGTTTCAGGAAATCAGTTGACAGTGCTTATTTGCAGAAAAGGTTATGGCCTATCAGGCTCTCAAAACTCACCCCTGAGAGTCTTTTCAAGGAAATACTGACAGTGGTCTGATTAGTTTGTGAACATTTCTTAATATTTTGATAGGCATATGACATTTTACCATCACAACTATTTAAAAAAAGTAGGACAGCAATTTGGATATTTTCATTGTTCAAGTGGTGAGTTGTGAAATCAAATTCTAAGAAATTAGCAGTTACAAAATCCAGCACCATCCCTTCCAACAAAAACACTGTGCCCCTTTTACAGGGAGCCGTAGGGACTTGCTCTGGATCACACAACTGTTCTTTTCTGTTGAGATCTGTCACATCATCAGTCAACACTTCCGTAGCCTAAGCATTTCTTTGGTTTTGTTTCTGTAATTAGTACAGTTCAATTCTAGAACCTTTCTGGAGTTGATATATTTTAGAGTCAGAGCTTTGAGGGGGGTTGTTGTTTTTTTCTTCCTAAAAGAACATAATTACTATGAAAGGTAAAACTTACCAGAGTAGTTATTTATACCTTATGCATTTCCTGCACTAAGGAAATGCGTGAGGTATAAAGAAAATTCAGGGTCTCCTGCACTGTTTAATAAAATAAAAGAAATCGAAATTAAGGAAAGGAGGAGAAAGTGGGCTGTGAATGTGCAGAATATTTGACACTGGATTTGAATATATCCCAGGCAGATGATGAGCTATATACTTCTTACCAAAAAGGAAGAATGAGCAGTATCTCTGGAAAGGCAGAAATTTTCCTGGTATTGGATTCTAAATGTTTCTCCCATTAAAAACTATGTAAAGACATTGAATAGGAAGGTAAACAATAACTTTGATAGATGTTTTGTTAACAGTTGCATATGTAATTTTCATGAGAATGTTTCTTACAGAGACCTTCAGTAAATGATTGCAGCCTAATTGCAGTGTGTGTGTGTGTGTATGTATGTGTATATGTATGTAAAAGCCTAAGTGACTATTATGACCGGTTGACTGGTCAGTAGCTATGACACACACTGACCACCAGGGGGCAGATGCTCAACGCAGGAGCTGCCCCTTGGTGGTCGGTGCGCTCCCACAGCCGGCCAACCTCCTGCTGCCCCCCCTACCCCCCCACTGGCCAGCCAGGCCGAGGGACCCGCCCCCCCCCATCTGTGCATGAATCGTGCACCAGACTTCTAGTGTGTATGTGTGTGTGTATAGAGAGAGAGACAGTGGTGGTGGGTACCTGGAGTGTTCCCTTGAAAAGAGAAAAAGAGGTGCCATCAGTCAGCTTTACCTGGGGGGCATTTGGAGACCCACACCATTTATTGGCTGTCCTTGGGGTAAAGTAATGTTAAGGTATGTGATTTTGTGCCAATCTTACTTGATTTAAGTATCTGAGTAATGGGTAAGTGGCATGTTCTAAACAAGGGGTTCTTAAACATGGCTGACCTTCAGGACCAAGTGGGGAGTTACTTTGAAAATATGGGTCTCCCACTCTGAAATCCGAACAGATGATCCGTGTGCAGAAGAATCACACAGGCCTGATACCACAGCATTAGACTGCTTTTCCAAATCTCTTTTTATCTTAGCTGAGTTCGGTAGGAGCTGTAGGGCTGGCCTTGAATATACTCAGTTATATGGCCTATCTCCATGCCACGGGGACGTTTTCCCTAGATGGGAACTTTGGCTCTGTTCCAAAACTCACAAACACTCATTTGACACCTTGGGAACTAAAACCAAGTTCATTTAGATGTAATAAACCCATGAGCAGGATGTTAACCTTGTTAAATTTGTTCCTTGTTTAATTCTGCATGCTTCATACTTGTAAAATTCTGATTCACAGCTAACACTGCCAGTTAGGTTGAATCATTGCTCTTTGTTCTGTTGGTAGCTGTACTTGGGAAGATGGATCTCATCAGAAGGTCCCTCACTGAATAATCTAGGCGGGTCCTTTGGAAAAATAACATTTCACATTAATGAACACTGACTGCACATTTCTGAGCTGGGCACAGTGTGTGCAGGCATTCTGTGTGCAGTATCTCACTAGGTGTACAGATACATATTGTACACATGGAAAGTGAGGATGAGTTAAACATTTAGTCATTTTAGGGCCATTATTTTTCCCAACACATGCCTAGTTCTTCAGCTTTTTTTCTTTCTACAAGTTCTGGGTTGGTTTTTTTTTTCCTAAAAATTGTGCCCTACTCAATTTTATAACTAGAAACCTAACAGGAAAATTTTGATGATTTGGAATTTCGAAGTACATTTCTCCCCCTTCATTTTATTTTAGGAGAAGGATGTAAATAAAAAAATAAAAGATATTTAAAGAGTTATTCAGGTATGGACTGGTCCAGTTTACACAATGAAAAGAAAATTGTTCTTCATAATGGTTAGTCTTCTTCAATTAAATAAAAATTAATTACATTTGCCATACCATTTAATGAACTGTAGGTTAACTCAGATCTCTTGGATCCTTTGTTAATTATCAGCCATGTGACTTGGGTAAGTGCTTGCTTCTTTGCAAAGTACAGAGAAATACTAGCCCCAACTGTCCCAACAGTTTGCAAGGATCAGAGTGGAAAAATGTAGAAATGCCATGAAAACTTATGTTATACATGTATGAGGTTGAAGTACTCCATTAGCTGGCAACTCTTAGATAACCCTGTTCTCTAAGCATCAGGTTAGTTGAAGATTGTCTAGAACCAGGATTGTATTGTTCTCACCTTCCTCCTAAGTCCCACATGGGGTACCGAATGGCAAATGAACTTGGAAATAATTTTTGCATTTTAATGGGAATCAATATATTGCTCAGTCTTAAAACAGTTTTCTTAAGTATTGAAAGTTGATGTCTGAATGGATTTATTTTACAATTAAGTCAAAACAGCCAAGTTACTTGAGTCTCGATCTCCAAATTTAACGCAAGCACTTTATGTGTAATTTCTAACTATTGGACTACTGAATTTAAACTTTCCTTTCATATGCAGGTGTTCACGTAAACACAATTTCCCAACATCGAGCCCCACCCTTCTTATTAGAAGCATGTTTACAACATTTGGAATGGAGCAGTGCAGAAGGGATGACTATGACCCCGACGCCAGCCTGGAGTACAGCGAAGAGGAGACCTACCAGCAGTTCCTGGACTTCTATGAGGACGTGCTCCCTGAGTTCAAGAACGTGGGGAAGGTGATCCAGTTCAAGGTGGGCATGCACAGTGCGCATGAAGGAGGAGATTGGGTCATTTCCCACTGAAGTACCCAGTAGGACAAGAGAGCTAGGATACAGGCTTTCTGCCTGGGTGGGGCTGTGTGCCATCGTACAATGCCTGGCCCTGTGTAGGCCACCCAGGCACTCAATGAATGTTAGTCCCTTCTCTCGGTAGAGGTACTACATGAACTCATGTACTAGCATGAAAGATCCTGGGTGTCAGGGACTAGATGGGAAAGGCTTTCATCTCTTCAGTACCTTTGTGATCTAACTCTCCTAGCTGGTAAATTCTCTGCAGAAGGTCTCAACAGACAGTAGTACCAGCATTCAGTTAAAGGCTGCCTATGATAGAGAACATGCAGTACCTTCCTTTCTCCCTCCCTCTGTGAGTAGTGAGTCTCACCTAGAGCTGCAGTGTGCACAGTGTAATACCACTCCACTTACTGAGTTTGTTGTTATATTGTTGCATTGTATTGATGGTGCCAACCCAGGTACATGTTCTTTTTTTTTGGAACTACACTGGAACATAGATCTTGATTCCTTTTCTTTACATTATTTTTATTCATTGGATAATTTCAATACTGAACATAGTATTCCCAAAGTCATGGTTTGTAGTGCAGCAAATGGGATGAAAAAGAGGCATTCAGATTGCACAGAATTAAGCAACAGGAAAGTCAGATGTAATAGCCACTGCTCGCAGGACCTGGTAGTGGAATCCTACCACAGTGAAGACTCCTACTTTGTGAATGATCAGATCCAATCCTTAATGATTCTGTTATGTTAGGGTAGGAAAATGTCATATCTTTTCCCATAATCTGGGAAAAGATAGGAATAAAGTTGTTGTTTTTTCCTGATTGTTGGAAGTGACAGTTGGAATAGCCAAGAGTAGAGCAACTGCTAACCAGCAGCACTTATGAAATTCAAAGCTCTACTTATTTCTACCGATTTTAAGATTTTAAAATGTTCTTCCCCCCTTTGCCTTTTATTTCTGTTGTGCATGCCTTTCTGTCTTCGCACTACTTCTCAGCACAACCAATAAACACTCAAGTAGAATTGCCTGGCTACTCACAACATGGAGCCACATTAGTGCGGTTTGGCTAGACCTGCATTCTGAAACCTGTAACCTTACCTCTCCATGCCTTTTCCTCATCCCGAAAGTGAGGGGATTGGACAACATTAGTGGTTTTCCTCTCGGGATCCCTACATTACACTGCTCCATGAAGTCAGTGGTGGAGCCACTTTCAAAACTTCAGGCCAGCCCAGCCGGCATGGCTCAGTGGTTGAGCATCAACTTATGAACCAGGAAGTCACAGTTCAATTCCTGGTCAGGGCACATGCCCAGGTTGCAGGCTCAATCCTCAGTGTGGGGCATGCAGGAGGCAGCCGATCAATGATTCTCTCTCATCATTGATTGTTTCTATCTCTCCCTCTCCCTTCCTCTCTGAAATCAATAAAAATATATTTAAAAAAACAACACACAAAACTTCAGGCCAGGTAGTGGAAATCACACCATTACCTGCAACTAGCCACCTACTAACCATGGTGTATTTGTTTTCTTTTGTTTAGAATTTTATCAGCCAAGCTCATGCTAATCACATTGGTAGTTATAAATGGAAAGGTGTTTGTTTAGTAAATTTTTAGTAGGAAAATTTCCAAAACATTAAATTTATCATGGAAAATTAATAATGGGTCTTTGTGAATCATTGGCTTAAGTCAGCTGTTCTCAACCTGTGGGTCGAGACCCCTTTGGCGGGCGAACAACCCTTTCACAGGGGTCGCCTAAGAACATCCTGCCTATCAAATATTTTACATTACGATTCATAACAGTAGCAACATTACAGTTAGGAAGTAGCAACGAAAATAATTTTATGGTTGGGTCACAACATGAGGAACTGTATTTAAAGGGCCAGAAGGTTGAGAACCACTGGCTTAAGTGATCGCTAAGGTCCCTGGTACAGCTGATGTGGCTACCCAAACAGATCCTGCCTCTTTTTGGGTGGGTACTCTAATAAAAATACTCGAACAAATTTGTAAAATTAAACATTTATTTTGAAAATAAAAGCTGAACATTACTATGAATATTTGAGAACCTTTGTATACCATTATATAAAACCAAATAAAAAAAATAAAATAACCACCTGGCCGGTGTGGCTCAGTGGTTGAGCATCGACCTATGAACCAGGTGGTCATGGTTTGACATGCCCGGGTTGTGGGCTTGAGCCCCAGTGTAGGGCATGCAGGAGGCAGCCGGTCCATGATTCTCTCTCATTGATGTTTCTCTCTCTGTCTGTCTCTCTCTCTCCCTCCCTCCCTCCCTCCCTCCCTTCCTCTCCCTTCCTCTTTGCAATCAATAAAAATATTTTTAAAATAAAATAACCAAATTAGATATGTCATTTTCTAAGGCAAATGATCAAATGTTCAACCTAACTAGTAATAGGAACAGTACATATTAAAATGACAGATTATTCACACCTTATCAGGTAAAATATTATAAATTCTCTTAATACCAAGACTGGGCAAGGATGTGTGAATTAGTAAAACCACTTCAGAGGGCAGTAGTTGTCAGTACCTAGTGAAGTTGTAAACTTACAAATCTGCACACTACTTGTGGTCATGCACACAGGAGAAATCCATCCACCTACAGACACATGTTCCAGAATGCTGGCTGCTGCACTGTTTGTTGATGAAAAATTGGAAGCACCTTGGATATCTGTCATTTGAGGAGTGGACAAATTGATTTGCTAATTTGATATATTCAGTATACAGTAGTTAAAATGAGTCCTTAAGTTTATGGGATTACATCTTGAAAAAAGGATGTAGAATAAATACTATTTATGTAAAAGTTTAATATGTGCAAAGCAATGCTATACATCATCAATATATATATACATGTTTCTTTGCATATGTATACATAAATATGTGTATGCCCATATATGCATAGTGGACATACATTTCTGTGCGTGTATGTGTTGCTGTGGATATTTGTGTGTGTATTTATGTTTGGAATGTGAAGGATATGCCCAATCTTAGGATAGCGCCTATGTATGTGATGGAGGAGGGAGAAAAGGATGGAAGAGATTCAACTGGGTCTTTAATGTTTTACATATTTAAACATTCTCTGTCAAAAAGGAGAATGTCAGTGTTAAATCTGGGTGGTATGTAGATGGGCTGACTTTTTTTCTCGATTTCTGTGCATGTGTGAAACATTTCACATCTATGGGGGGAAAGGATCTGGATGAACAGGGATCAGCTAATTGGGGCCTGCAAAACCACTATGTGCTGAAGTATACCTTAAATAGACGTGAGAGTGGGGTAGTACCTCGATTTTGGAATCTTCTATTAATAACTAGTTTTCATAGTGTTGACCTGAACAAAATGCATTTAATGGCTGAAGGTCTTCTTTTCCTTAGTGTTGTTTTTTTTAATGATAGAATTCTTCATTGCTCCTTAGGTCAGCTGCAACTTAGAACCTCATCTGAGGGGCAATGTGTATGTTCAATACCAATCGTAAGTATTCTGAACATAAAATGTCTTCACAGTTTGTCACAGTATAGTGTTGTGACTATGTTGGTGTCTGGGATTGTTTCCACGGAATAATATAGCTTTCATATGCATGGTATTTTTAAAAATATATTTTATTGATTTTTTACAGAGAGGAAGGGAGAGGGATAGAGAGTTAGAAACATCGATGAGAGAGAAACATCGGTCAGCTGTCTCCTGCACACTCCCTACTGGGGATGTGCCCGCAACCAAGGTACATGCCCTTGACCAGAATCGAACCTGGGACCCTTGAGTCCGCAGGCCAACGCTCTATCCACTGAGCCAAACCAGTTAGGGCTGCATGGTATTTTTTAAAAACGTAAATATTAAGAGCTGATATAGAAATATAGGAGGGATTTGAAAATAATACATTTGGATTTCATTCTTTGTATAAGTACATAGTTTTGAATCTTTTGTAATATAGTAATTTTTTACTTATATAATTTTAATAATTAAAATACAAACTGAAAGGGATAACTAGAATAGAGGAAAGTATAAATCAAAAGAGCCAGGAATTGAAGCCCCAAGTAATCTCTGTGTAGTTAGTGTATCAATTCTGCTTGTTTTGTTGTTTGCCTGGGCCACACCGTGGCTAATGAGTTAATTTAACCATTGTAATAAGAATAGTGATCTTAACTGAGAAATAATTGACACTGATAATGGGAAACACTTCTGCATTTTTAATGGTCCCATCTTTTGGTTTAAGAAGCTTTGACTCAAGCCAGTTTCCATGCATCAGAGCCTCTCAGAGAGTTGGTAAAAAGGGTTCCTGAATAAATGGTGAGCTTCAGCAGCCGGAATATTCTAATGAGTACTCTTAGTAGTACAAAAGCAGTAAGCTTGGAGGTCCTACAATAAACGAATAAAAGGGTTTGTTAACAACAGCATTAATCTACATATTAGAACATTACTGTAAAGCGTGTCCTTTAATTTGTGGTTTAAAAGGGAAGAAGAATGCCAAGCAGCCTTTTCTCTGTTTAACGGAAGATGGTATGCAGGACGACAGCTTCAGTGTGAATTCTGCCCAGTGACCCGGTGGAAAATGGCAATTTGTGGTAAAATATAACATGATGATTTCCCCCCAGTTATTCTACTGTTATATAAAAGGAAATTCTTAGTGAAAAAAATAATATTTTAAAGAAGTGAAGCATAGCTTTTACCTCACACAGTAGATGAGCCGAGATCATTATATAAAGGACATTACATTTTAGATCTGTAACAGACCTTGTGTGTCTCTTTGTGCATGATATGATTGAAGTCACAGTATATTGATGACAGAGTTGGGCTAGAATTGGGTCTTCGCATCCTCAGTGCTGGGTCCCTGTGTTTAATACTTTAGGAAGCCTGAGAAGTTGTGGCCCTGGAAGCCACCTTTCCTTATTGCGGTTTCAGAGGTGTTTGCTATTGATGGCTCCCCTCACTTAAGCTGTGTTGTTTTCCCCATCTTTATCCCTAATGAATCTTTGCTCATCTTTGCCACCTAAAATGTTACCTATAACATCCCTTGCTTTACTTGAAATACATGCTTTTGTGCAGTAGATTGATTCTAGCTGTGGGATGTGGTGAGGGCACATTCAGTCAGACTGACTCATCGACAGTGGCCCCAAATCAGGAAATGAGTCAGTCCCTTGAGAAGCCAGCAATTTTGATGGCCTTGTTCTTTTTTATTTCTCTTGGATGGGCTTATCCAAACTGTATTGCTAAGGTACCGGAAGCAAAGAGATGGAGCTATTTGTGTCTTAAGGGAGCACATTCCTGATCCTTTACTGTTCTTTGCTTTACACGTGTCTGCTTAACACCTCTTATTTAAAAATACATAATTTACAAAGTCTGAATCTTTGGCAACCTGGTCGTAATGGATGCTGTCACTTAAAAACCACTTATTGAAGAGGGGGAAAAGATTTTGGAATCCCTTGCTTTGGAAAACAAGAAGAACCATTACACCTTAAGATTAAAGGCTTGGGGGATGAAAGAAGTGGACCCGTTTTCTCCATAAAGGTGTTTATTTTTGTTAGTTCTGGCAGTCCAGTATGGTTTCACTGAGGTAATTCTGAGTATGACTTTGACTCTCCCAAAGCAGGAGACTATTTCACTTGTGTTTTGTTTTTCAAAAATAACAGTTTGGTTATTTTTCCCATTAACTAGTGATGTTGAGCATTTTTTCATGTCCTTGTTATTGGCCATTTGTCTATTTTCTTTGGAGAGATGTGTATTCAGATCCTTTGCCTATTTTTATGTAAGTTACATGTCTTTTTACTATTGAGTTGTAAGAGTTCATGATTTATTCTACAAATAAGTCCTTTATTAGATCTATGATTTGTAAATATGTTCTCCCATTATGTGGGTTGTCTTTTCACTTTGACGGTGGCCATTGAAGCACAAAAGTTTTTAATTTTGATGATAACCCATTTATCTAATTTTTTTTTCACTTGTGCTTTTGCTGTCATATCTAACAATCCATTGCTTAGCCACGTGTCACAAAGATTTTACTTGTATGTTTGCTTCAAAGTTTCATAGTTTTGTGTCTTACATTTAGGACTCATCCATTTTAACTTTCTTTTTGTATATAGTGTGTGGTATGGAGGTATTTCTATTTTAACTGTTTTACATATTTGGGAAATTTACTGCTTTAAAAAAAAGTTTGAAGACCCCAAAAAGATTTCTGAGTTGTTCAACTGGATTTCACTTTGACAAGAATCTTCCATATTAAAAATACTTGGTAAATTTAAAAGCATTAGGCCAATGTTTACCATCTTCTTCTTAAAGTGTTAATTAGGGATCTACATTGTCAGTGAGTGGGATGGTGAAACCCTAGAAAAACTTGGAGTTACCACTTGTGTCATTTGCACACCACACAGTAATCCAGTAGAGAAACCGGATATCCTGGCTAATTAAGATGTCTGATTTGTTACTTTTCACAGTGCCATTTGTTAGAGCACTTGAATATATTTGAAATTCTGAGAACCAAAACTGTGACATCAATTTATATTATCTAAATAATATAAAGAAGAAAATAGTTCTGACATGTCCAACATGAGAAATGTACTTTCTAAAAAGGATAAAGTGCCAGCAAGAAATGCTATTTCCTCACTTTGCATTGCAGGTTTATATGAAATGCAGCAATGCCCAAGAGGAAAACACTGCAACTTTCTTCACGTGTTCAGAAATCCCAACAATGAATTTTGGGAAGCTAATAGGGACATCCACCTGTCTCCAGATCGGTCTAGCTCTTCCTTTGGTAGGAACTCAGAGAGGAGAGAGAGAATGGGCCACCATGATGAGTACTATGGCAGGCCCAGGAGGAGAAGAAGCCCCAGTCCGGCCCGTTTCTATAAAAGAAATGGAGAATCTGAGAGGAAAAGAAGAAGTACCCACAGGGATAAGAAGTCTCACAGACACACAGCAAAAAGTCGAGAAAGAAACAGTTCACGAAGTAGAGAAAGAAAAAGGGACCGCAGTCGGGGCCGGAGCAGCCGGAGCAAGAGCCACCGGAGCCGAAGCAGGAGCCGGAGCCGGAGTCGGAGTCCAAGCCCTTCTAAGTTCAGAAATTATAGTGGGAGAAGGTCAGGTAGTAGAGACAGAACTATTCATAGTCCCAAATCCAAATAAACTGATTGTGTTTTTAAATGATTGCATATGTTATTTATTATGGCTGCTCCATACCTGGGTGGAGGGCTCTGAATTTAAGTGGATTAGCAAGTCTGGTAGAACCCTATTATCATCTATAACTCTATTTAAAAATATTAGCACGGCTGGCGTGGTTCAGTGGTTGAGAGTTGACCTATCGATTCCTGGTCAGGGTAAATGCCCATGTTGTGGGCTCGATCCCCAGTAGGGGGCATGCAGGAGGCAGAGGATCAATGATTCTCATCATTGATGTTTCTTTCTATCTCTCCCTCTCCCTTTCTGAAATCAATAAAAATGTATTTTAAAAAATAATCTTTTTCTAATAACTTATATGCTTTTAGAAAATTTAAATGTATAAATAACATAAATATTACTTGTAATCCTAACCCTTAAAGATAACCAGTTAACAATGGAGCATTACTTTAGTCTTTTTTTTTCCTCTTCTTATGGGTGTGGGCACATTTTTTACACAAAGAACATAGATGGCTGCAGTTGAATATGCTTTTTGTCACACAAAATATTGTCATACTTTCTCAAGGCCAATTCTTAATGTTATTTTTACTCACTGCATAGTGTGGAACTCTTAATTTATTCAACCATATCCTTGTTTGATTTTAAGTTATTTTGACTTTTACACTATTAAAGAACCCTGTGCTATAAAAAATCCTGTGGTAGATTTCCTTACTTTCATACATTTATGATTATCTCCTTAGGATAAATTACATCAAGACATGAATACTGAAGTATTTCCAAATTGCCCTCCAGAAAAACTACACAAATTATCAATAATAAATTTTGCTATTCCCACATCCCACATTACTTTTCACCAACTTGGTAAATTTTATGTGTTTAACTTTGTTTCTGTACACATTGGCCAAGTAAAACACTTTTTCTATATTTAATGGCCATTAAATTTGGTGGTTTGCCCTTTATTAATAATCTATTGGATTTTTGTACATGCAATAGTTGAGCAGTTTGTTTTACTTTAAAATTCACTTTCTCAGTTTTAAAGTACTAAAGGGTAGTCAATTTTTTTTTCTGCCTCCTTCCTATCCCCTATTTGCAGTCCCTCCTTAGCTAGAGGTTTCCCATTAGGGTGTTCATCTTTTTTTATAGTATATTGGAGAGTTCTCTATATACAGGTAAATTTTTGTCATTTTCAGGAAAATTGGAGTTGTTGCTATTGAATATGCCTAGTGTTACAGCAATTCTGGTAAAAAAAAAAGTGGTCTATTTTAAAAGCTTAATGTAGGGGAGGCTGGGGGAAGGTCAAGGGAAAAAAAAGGAGACAAATGTACTACTTATAATATTTTAAGCCATAAAAATGTTTAATATAAGATACTGTTCTTAGATTTCAGATCATAAAAGCTCTCACGCTTCCTCATAAATTTTTAAATTTTCTTAGTAACCTTTCCATTGACATACTAGGGATCTTGAATTTCAGAGTATATGGAAACAAGGACTTGATACACAAAATAGCGAAGTTAATTAGGAATAGAAATTTCTTCAAGATTGGCACTTCTGAGTGATACCTGTTGAAAAAGCCCTTTAATCTGTAGTCTATAAAAGGAAGTATGTGGTCCAGAATACATTTTACTTTAAAAATTGATTTGCTTCAGGCTTTAAATACATTTTACCATAAAAATAATTGTAAATTTTCTGTAATTATTTACAGCAAAGCATGTCAAACTCACAGCCCGCAGGCCACATGCCTCATTTACTCGGCCCATATTAGCCTTTGAGTTTGACATGCTTGATCTACAGGATTCACTAATGCCAAATAGTTATCACCGAATTCAAAATTTTTAATACCTTCCTAAGTACAGCCAAGTTATACACAATTAAAGGTGGAATTCAAAGCTGAACAGTCTTTAGTGGATCATGGAGGGGAAAATGTCATAGAGGTTAAACACCAGCTTGTGCTCAATCAAGGTTATGAGTTATAGTATTAAAGGGCAGCGTCATATGGAGGGGAAGAAGCAGTTTTTATATGTTTTTGTTGATTTCAGAGAGAGAGGAAGGGAGAGATAGAAACATCAATGATGAGAGTATCATCAATTGGCTGCCTCTTGCTCCTCCCTCCTTACTGGGGCTTGAGCCTGAAACCCAGGCATATGCCCTGACTGGACCTCCTGGTTTATGGGTCGATGCTCAACCACTGAGCACACCAGCTGGGCAGGAAGAAACAGTTTTTAAACCACAGACCAGTTCATTATCCTGAAAAATGTCCATCTTAAATATTAATGTTTTTAAACTTATAACCTAATTACCACTTATAATTCAAAAATTCCAACTCTACATTGCTCACAGCCCAAGGGCCTGTTTTCAGTGAATAAATAGCAATGTGTTAGACCAGTGATGGCGAACCTATGACACACGTGTCAGAGGTGACACGCGAACTCATTTTTTTGGTTGATTTTTCTTTGTTAAATGGCATTTAAATATCTACACTAATAAAAGAGAAACATAGTAATTAGCGTACGACCGCTACCCTTCCCATTGGCTAATCAGCATATCCTTATGCAAATTAACTGTCAGCCAAGATGGCGGCCGGCAGCCATGCACTGAAGCGAACAGGGAGGCTTGCTTGCTCCAGTGACTGCGGACTCCAACGTTCCCCGCCTGACTTGCCAGCCTCTCAGCTGCAACTCTAAGCAACTATGTTGCAAATATAGAAGCTAAACAAAACCCCAGAAACCGGCTTTCAGTCAGCCGGGCTTCAGCCAGCCGGACCGCAACATTGTATCAAATACAGAAGGTAAAGGCCAGAAACCTGCTTTCAGCAGTGAGGCCTCAGAGCTAAAGCTGGCCCAGAACAGAAAAAAAAAAAAAAAGAAAAAAGGAGCAGTTGGGAGCTTCAGTCACCCGCCAGCCTGAAAACGGCCCTCAGCCCCTCAGCCAGACTGGCCAGGCACCCTAGTGGGGACCCCCACCCTGATCCAGGACACCCTTCAGGGCAAACCAGCCGGCCCCAAAGGGTAATATGCCTCCTGGCACCAGGATCAGCGGAGCAGCGAGGCTCCCGGCACCAGGATCAGCGTGACAGGGGGCAGCGCCCAAACCCCCTGATCACCCTGTGGCTGTGTGTGTGACAGGGGGCAGGGCCACAACCTCCCTATCTGCCCTGCTCTGTTCGTGACAGGGGAAGGCGCCCCAAGCCCCTGATCAGCCCTGCTCTGTGCCTTATAGGGGGGAGCTCCCCAACCCCCTGATCGCCCTGCGGCTGTGTGTGTGACAGGGTGCGGCGCCCCAACCCCCTGATTGGCCCTGCTCTATGTGTGACAGGGTGCAGCACCCCAAACCCCCCCACCCCCACGGGCCCTGCTCTGTGTGTGACAGGGTAGAGCCATAACCTCTCCATTGGCCCTGCCCTGAGTGTGACAGTGGCGGCGCCCCAACCCCCTGATCAGCCCTGCTCCGTGGGTGATAGAGGGCGGCGCCCCAACCCCCCTCCACGGGCCTTGCTCTGTGTGTAATGGGGTAGAGCCATAACCTCCCCATTGGCCCTGCCCTGAGTGTGACTGAGGGTGGCATCGCAACCTCCCGATCCGCCCTGCTCTGTGCATGACAGGGGGCGGTGCCCCAACTCCCCAATCGGCCCTGCTCTGAGCCTGACCAGGGGCTGCACCTAGGGATTGGGCGTGCCCTCTGCCACCCGGGAGCAGGCCTAAGCCAGAAGGTCGTTATCTCCCGAGGGGTCCCAGACTGCGAGAGGGCACAGGCCGGGCTGGGGGACCCCCCCTTCCCCCCCCCCCCGCCCCGAATGCACAAATTTTTGTGCACTGGGCCTCTAGTATAAAATAAATATAAAAAATGTAAGTCTTTGTTTTACTATGGTTGCAAATATCAAAAAATTTCTATATGTGACACAGCACCAGAGTTAAGTTAGGGTTTTTCAAAATGCTGACACGCCGAGCTCAAAAGGTCCAGCATCACTGTGTTAGACTCTTCTCAACCTGTGGGTTGCGAACAATGAAAATACATCCTGCATATCAGATATTTACATTACGATTCATAACAGTAGCAACATTACAGTTATGAAGTAGCAACGAAAATAATTTTATGGTTGGGGGTCACCACAACATGAGGAACTGTATTAAAGGGTCGCAGCATTAGGAAGGTTGAGAACCAATGCTTTAGAGGCTAACAGAGGCTCTTTAAATCGAGAACTGTTTTTTTTTTTTAGCAGACTAGCAACTTAATTTGATGATAGTTGTTTTGTTTTTTTCTGGTCCATAGGTATTTCTACCTCCTGCCCCCTTGGGCATGTACTGTTTGTCTCTTTTTTTGTTTGTTTCCTCATTCTTAAATATTTATCTTTTAAGTATCTAACATTCCCCACCTATAGTTAATAGGAGGTCCCTTAACTAAGCTTTGATTTGCTGCTTATGACACAGTAGTTGGCAAAATTAGTTTGTTCTGAGTGTGCTAGTACCTCCAGTTCATGGGATCAAGGGTGGGGGGAACCAGTTGCTTTGGAATACTTTTTATTACCTGGAGTAATAGGAGTTGCTCATTCCGAAAGAGTAGAAAAGTCAAGTGCATCAGGTTTTAAAAGCGGCATTTATTGATTGAAAATAAATGTGCAGATAGGCTCTCTGTAGCATGGAATCCACATTATTTTTTAATGAACTTGAAGTATATGAAGACTCCTTATATCTTCCATTTATCTTGTGTGTGCTTTTAACAATCACCACATTCAAATGGAGGTGAATTTTCAACGTTACTGAAAAAAGACCTTAGAATTTTTCCTTCAGCAACTCTCCATAGTTTGACAAGCTTTTGGGAAGAGATAGATAAAAACACACTACAATAGTGTACATTGAACATTTATTACAACTAATTGGCGATGTGATGAAGACAATGCACACATGGCCTGAATATTGGTCACAATCACAAGAAAGCTTAATCCAGCCCAGCAAATACAAATGAAAGTGTAAACCGTGAAGATGTGTTTACATATGGAGTATGTATAAAAGTGACATTGAAATAGCTCTTTAAAATATAGGGCCTACTAATGCCATTTTACCTCATTCAGCTCTCACTTTTATATGAAAGATGGTATGCTTATATTTTTATAAGATTTCTCATAACTATTTCTCATTGCTATTGAAGGGCAGGAAGCTCCCTAAAGTTTATAGCACTTCTAAGTAGCAGGAAGCAATAAAGGAGGGCAAAATAAATTTGGCTGCAACAAGCACCCCAGAAGGAACCTTAGTGCTTTAAATGACATAGTCAACACTTTGTGAAGAGAGTAACATTTTCCATAAGAATCTGTCATGAAGAATTCCTGGCAAGTCAACATTCTATTTTATTTTGGGGCATCCAAATCCAACTAAGTGACTTAATGATTATGACCACAAAATTTGTCTCAGGAGTCAAATGTTCGTTGGCCTTAAAAATAATATGCTCACCATTATCAAACAATCAATCTCTTCTTCATCCCAGGTTTGGAATGCCAAAGAATTTTCAGTGTAAAACGGTATAATTCCAATTTAGTCTATGTGTATTCCCTTTGTTTTTAGGTATGTAGTTTCCAAATAGGGTCTTTGGTATAAATTTGATGTTTTTATTTTAAAGTTTCAACATAGTTTTCATTCATTTGATATGTGGTATGTCAATTCCCTTTATTCTCATATATACTGGGAGTGCACTGGCTTTGGGCTTCGTAAGTTTCCTTTGCCAAAGACAGTAATTAATAAATGTATTTAACCTGATTGTCATTTTCTTAAGATATCCAATTAAGAGAAACAGACGTATAAACCTTAAAATACCCAGGTACCTTTCTTTTTCTCTATCATTCTAATTCATGTAAGTCCCTTAAGTTATCAATTGATTAACCAAAATTCCCTTTAAAAAAAATTGTGTAGGCCTGAATGAAGCAGCTTAGTGAAACAGTAATACTGACAAGACATCTTACACCATTAGCTAACATGGACATGAAGGCAGTGACCATCTACAGTGTGTGAAATGCCACAAGAAGTCATCAACAAGGGAGGAGAATTATGTCAGTCCAATCTCTTCAAGAACACTACGTGGGGTTTCAGCTTCCTGTGGAGGGAAAATGTGAGACTCTGGTAAGCAGATGTGGGGTGGCTTGAGAATGTGAAACTGACATAAGACTTGCAATTTTCAGAGAAGGAGGAAAGCAGTTCAGTGGTATGGGCGTGTTCTGTGAGCCAGTGGTTATTTAGGGTTTTGTATCCCATACATTGGAAGCCACAGAATATTTTCAGCATGCATATTATATATATATATATATATATATATATATATATATATATATATATATATATATATAAAATTTTTAAATCTTGTTGAAAGTATTACATTGATTACTGATCAATAATTGCTGTAACACGAAAAGCAGTCAAACCCATTGGCAATTTAAGAAATCATTGCTACCGAATTATCTATCTACAGGAAAGGTAAGTTATCCTAGTGTTAAAATTTAACCCCCCGCCCCCTAAATAAAAAGCAGGGGAAAACCTGAGTTCTCCCAATTCTTCACATAATTTTGGTTTCCATGCTTTGGGGGGGGGGGATGTCACATGTATTTATAGAAATGTCTTCCTCTCAGAGTTTTTACTCAGTTTTTCACTTCAACTGACCCCAGCAGAGCTTCAGAAACTCACCTCCTCAAACCTCCCCAGGGCAACCAGACTTCAGTGGAGGCAACATACACACAAAGAATGCTCTGGGATAAAAGGCAGTTTTATCATATGTAACAACCAATACTCATTTTTAAACATCAAAGGAAGACAAAGCCGGCATATCTAGAAAAAAATTATTTAAAAAATTCCCAAAGTGGCTGATTTTGCACTTCACGAAATATAAAGGGACCAAGTAGATCAAATTTCAGTATTACTCGCAACAATTTTATAATTAAAAAGCATAGTATATTTTCATGAAGGATAGCAATGTAATTTTTAGTATCCAATAATAAATTACTTACTTTTGCATCCTAATTGTGGTACAGCACAAAATAAAGAAAAAAATATATTAAATCATAAATCCATATATTAGATGGTATGTAAAACACTACATGGAATAATCTTAACTAAATTACACTTAAACTCCATGGTCTGTTGCCTTATTGGGAAAGCAAGGATCAATAATACTTACCTTTATGTGTAGAGATTAAGGGAGATAAGTTTTAGTGCCTGATTTACAGGAAGTGCTAAACATCTGTTAGCTGATAGCTTACACAGTTGAAATCTAAATGAAGGTACTTATCATTCAGTAGCAAACGAAGCACTATAAACCAACTCTATATGAAGTTCATATGATGACCTTTAGTATGTTTGTATATTAATGAAAAAAATGGGTAAAAATCAGCTTTGGTAAAAACGATTATTTTTTATGAAGTATTTTTGCTCCTCCAAAATTGAACCTCAACCTAACCACACTACAGAACTAAATATGAAAGATAAGAAAAGTTAAACATCGCCAAAAGGTTACAAGCAGCAAAATACAGAATGGGGGGAATTTTACAGCATTGGTGACTCAGTTAACAAGAAGGTAACGAGGAAGAAAGCAGAGGAGTCATTAAAAACTGAGACATAAGAGACATCAGCTAGATACAATGTGGGCCTTGTTGGAATCTGGTTCTAACAAACCAATTATAAAAATACATTTTTCAGGCTATGAGATTGACACAATACCTGCTGAGCTAGGGAGGCAGCTTGTTTTTCAGATAATTGGGAAAAAATGAACCAGGAATACGATATTAGGAATTACCTTTAATCTTATGGGGTGTGGTACTTATCTTTTAGGGATACATACTTTAGTTTCAAAGATGATAAGATGTCTAGGGCTTGCTCTAAAATACTGAGGCAAAATGGGGTGGTGGTGGCTGATGAAATAAGTAATCAGAGTATTCTGCTGATGGTTATTGAAGTTGAGCAATGTGTACATGAGGGTTCCTAGTACTATTCTATTTGCATGTCTCAACTTTCATGATATAGCTTTTAAAGAAAATCCAATGGAAATTATGTAACACTCCCAAAGAGTGATATAAGCCAATCTCTTTCATTTTTAATATTTAGCATTAAACATAAAATGCACTGAATCACATACACAGTAAAATGAAACAATTTAAAAATAATTTTCATTAAAAGGGTGCCTACATTCAGTTCTGTAGTTACCCATGTAAAAATGTCCCTCATCCTAATTCCCTGGAGCTGGCCAGATTTCCCCTGTGTGCTCACTGCCTGCAATCTTATATAGCATTTCCCAATGAGAACCATGTTGCATATCAAATATACATAAAATATTTGTCCTTTCTAAAGGGCCTAGATTCAAAGAATTATTTGCATATTTTATTCCTTTGAGATTTGACAGGTAGTATATTAGAGTTTCTTTCAAATTGTGTTTAGAATAAAAAAATATAATTTTCACATGTTCACATTGAAATTGTAGCTCAAAATTACCGAGAAAAATTATTTCTGAAGAGTCAAATTCATAAAAACATAGAAGTAGAATGGTGGTTACCAAAGTTTGGGGGAAGAGGGAAATGAGGAGTTGTTTAATGGGTACAGAGTTTCAGTTATGCAAAATGAAAAATTTCTGGAGATCTATCACAACAATGTAAATATGCTTAACATTACTGAACTGTATACTTAACAATGGTTAAGCTGGTAAATTCTGTTACGTGTTTTTTTTTTTACCACAATTAAAAGAAATTAGCTGGAAAAACAAATGTAAAATACATTATCAAAAGGAATGGAGAAGAAAAAAGTCATTCACATGAGACAAAGTACATGCAATACTTTTATTTTAGACATGCAAGGAAAGCTATTTCAGAATCTACTATTTAAAGCAAGCCGCTGTATACAGAAAACAAAAGAAGCAACATATTGTTATAGCTCAGCACACAACATCCAGGGCAAACAGGCATGAGACAATGCATATTTATGCATCATTAAAACCAGATAAATAATACATTGCAGGGTGGGATGGAGGGGAAAATGGAAATGAAAGACCAATGTTTCCCAGTGCTTTCAATGTATAATGCTAAATTTCTCATTTGATAGCCCATCTAGGTGCCATGGTAATGGTAAGAACTGATCTGCATGCCTGCCTGATACACATTTTCATGGTCTTCCTTTAGCGGTAAACCAGTTTGAGCATCTTTTGAATTTACTGTTTAATGATAGCTTACTTAACTCAGGCTTTGAACTCTCTAGGTATAAACAATGAATTATTTGGTACTTTCCTTTTGTAATAAAGTATGTTGCATGTTTTATTGAAAGTATAAACAATAATGATCAATATTAAGAAACATAAAACCATAGTTAATAAATCATAAGAATTTTAAATGAAGACTATATGATAAAACCACAACTATTCAAATATAAGTATTTAAACTGAATATTCAAATTAGACTATATATACTTAGTATTAATGCTCTGAAAGGGTTACTTACTATTAAATAGATATTGCAGATCAGATTTTCTGACATAGCTTTTTCTGTTTAGTTTTTAAAGGGATTGTTTGATCTTCAATAAATGTGGCATTACAAATTTCTTAAAAACTGTGTGTTTTACCTTAAATTATGTCACAGTACAGATTTTACTTTCTTGTATTTCTGAATACTTTTATGTGATACATTAAACACATTAGGTCATATAGACTGTAATACAGTTACACTAAATATAGGGTTTTTTTTCCACATTTGAACACCAAGCCACACTATATATTATGGCACTGATTATTTGGACCTAGCATTTCAGCTGTATTTTCTTTGGTAAACATTGTAATGATTGCTAGGTTTTCTTCTTAACAAGATTAATCACAAATGGCTCACAAATGACATGGATGTGTTTAAGATGAAATATTACTAAAACATTCATAGGTCACATTTTTTTTCAAGAAGAAATTAAACCAGCTGCAAGCAGGAATAAGCTACATCAAGATCACATAAAGAATGAAAATAAAACAGAAAAGAGGAACAAAGTTACAATTGTAAAGGTGTTGATTTGAAACATTCTATTATTATAAGATGGTCACCAAGCTGAGGATATTTTCTTTCATAAGTATATCAGCTCTCTATTTCCTCTGTAAGAGTCTGCATACACGTCGAGTAGTCATTTAGTACACTGGGACATTAAAATATTCATGACGTGGCTACAAAAGAAATGCATATGTTCTTATACACAGTATACAAACTGACAGACACAATCAGATTTCTAGAAGGTTTAGTGCACAGTAAAGAAAAGTTAAATTTTTGATTTTGTTCTTTGGTTTATAGCTGAATATTTTAACTACTAAACAATGTCCAGGAGTTCACACTCATCTTTTAATTTTACTATATATATAGATCTATCTATCTATAGATATAGATATATAATCAAAATGACCTACATCCTACAGAATCCTAAAATATTTTCAGTCTAAGTCATCTGGTCAATGCTGAGTTAACTGAAAATGCAAGTATCTACTCCCTCCCACCAGTACATTCAAGCTCATCAGGATTTCATTCCACTAAGTCAAAGAATTTAAACCCTTAATGAAAATCATCACATCCTAAGGTGACCATAAACACTTTTGTAGACCCTAAAGGAAAATCTTTCCCAAGAAAAAGTAGAAAAGTAGTCACCCATCTGTATTTTAAGTAGCAATGGAGGTTTTAACGGTTCACTTAGCTTAAAAAAACAAAAACATCCAAAGACTAGGCCTTTGAGATTAAGGATATATTACTTTTAAAACAATCCTTTAAAGAAATCTCCAAACAGATCTGTTAAATGTCTATGCCTACAAATGTATGTAAAAAGATGTTTCTCACAGGTAACCTGAGGTGAGGTTTTAAACTGACCTTATAGTGTCCGGAGATGGATTTCTAGAGACGCCAAGAACCTCCTGAAACTAGAGGCAAAATTATGTGCAGATTTTTCTGAGAAGAGGAACCTTGGCCCTTCAGACTCCTTGGGATTATACCCCCACCAATATACTTGTGACTCAAAAAAAGTTTAAAACTCTTATATGAGTGCTTTAAAAATATCCTCATTTTAATATTTCTTCAACTTGGCACTTTGAAATGTTAGGCTACAAAGTCATGCAAATTGTTCCAGTAAAGTATGTAATAGATCCCTTACAAAATAACCATTAAATACAAAAGTATCTGAAGAGAAAAGCTAGTTAAATTTTAATCCTCAGATAATTCCTAAATAGTTTAAAGAGATAACTGCCCTTTCCCCCCCCCCACTCAGAATAGATTATACTGAAATGAAACAGCTTAAAATAATAATAATAATAAGTTAAACCCCCAAATGCTTCCTTTTCTTCTGGAAGCTCTCATTTTCCCAAGGGAATTCTATATCTGTATCAATAGCATTAGTGAGTCACAGTATTTAATAATACTTTTTGCCAATGAACCTCTTTGAGTATTCTCTGTGTGAAAAAAAATAATGATGGATCATTACAAGAGCAAAATTCCCTAATATCCGTTAAATTAAATAATTGGGACTATCCCTTGGGATTTAATGTAATTAGACTTTTCAGATAATGCTAAAATATAAATAACGAACTTATCATTGCAAACTGAATTATATATCCTACTACATTTTGATGCATGTCAGTACTCCAGCACGTATTCTAGTATGCTTTCTTACACCCCATGAAACTCTTGCTGTGATACACATTCATTCTGTTTTCTGGAGAGAGAACAAGAAAAGTTTAAGTCTGTCAAATAACCTTTCACCTAAATAATACCAATGATTTTGAGTACTTATATTATAGCTTTTAATCTATGTTTTCTCTCTTAATTTTATATCATGGAGCGCTTATGCCATTAAAAGGAAAGTAAGTTTTTCCAAATAGGGCTGAGTATACAGCCATTCCTCTCCAGAGGAGACTTACTATGAAAGAGAACAAATAATTCTATAGGAACATTTCTCAAAGGTGACAGACCTTTCACTACCTTTAGGAAAGGGTTGGTGATAAACCAAACTATCTTTTATAGCC